AATTATGTTATGAACATACCTCCAACATAAAACATACTGATTTTTGGGATCCCTGCGACCCTATTTATATGCGCGATCGGGGCTTTGAACGTTCTGCGCGACCCAGTGCCACTCGAATTTTTCCCCTCCTAAAAACCCTAATTTTAGCTCGACTCGGGCCCATTCGAGCAACCCTGATGGCCGAGGCTGCTCTCCAATGGCCTCCAGCTGGTCTACCCCCTGTGCGTTGCGTTGCGTTGCGTTGCGGTTCGGGCGGTTGAAAAGCGTGGATTGGATTGTATAGATTGAAGTCGGTTTGGATATGGCGCTAAATCAACTTTATCTCCGGGGTGCGGGAACTAGGCCTGACCGGGTTAGCGTGGTTCCCGGTCACCAACCTTCGACAGAATTGGGGCTATGAGGATGTCTGTCAGCTTTATCTTCAGATCTATCACATTAAGGATACATTTGTTCCAATGGCCTTGGTGTGTTAGTCATCATGCAAAAGAGTTTCGTTTTGAGTATTTAACGCGAAACGGGCTTAATTTGAGGACAAACATGGGGTTCCGTGATTAAGTAATCCAGTTCAACGAACTCGCCCAAGCCCAACTTCAACGCATTATACTACATGAACCACACAAGGAATCAAAATTGTGATAAAACGATCAAAGTATACGGTATTAATTGTACTAGAATCCCAAGAATTAGCCTCGAAGGATGTGGTGGTGATGCAAGGTCAGGTCGGCTTCTACCGCATGGTTTCCTAGCTCTAACTAGCCATCTACCTCGCAGTTCTATATTAGTAGCTTTCATCATCACTATAGTCAATAGTGATATACTCTTTTCGGCGTTTCTGTGCAGATAGCACCTTTTCTTTATCGCTGAGCTGACCATAACGCCTTTTCTGACCTCTTGGAGCGTCGAAACCCAGCAGTTTATGCCATTCAGAACTGATTGCCCGAAACCGGATCCGCTTCGCCTCAATAACTCCGGGCGCCTCCTTCAAGCCACGTGCATAAGTAGTTCCGGCCATCCAGGACCCATGCGCGGCCTGTTCATCCACAATCGGGTCATCTGGCCCATAGTCGCGCTTGAATCCACCACATTTCAGGTGGACGCGAGAAATACCGATCGCTGCATGGCGCCAGTTAAGCACATGCAGCTTGGTCTGCAGATGGGCCTCCCCTTGTGATCTCAACACCGCTCCAAGACGTTTCGCATCCCAATGCCCCCTCCCCTTCGGCCAGAAATACGGCGACCGCATCCGGGTATTGCTTTGGCAGGCAAACATAGCGGCTTGCTCTGCGAATGGTTGGATCAGCCAAAGATAGTACACCACAAGCTCGCTCACCACTCGTGGCAGGTATCGGTGGATGATCTTCATGGAGTTGGTGACGCTCTTGGATTTATGGTAGCTAGTGACAATGCAGACCAGTCCATGTTCCACGAAGACGTTGCGATGTCTCCCTTCCGGGGTGTTGCAATACCGAATCGAGATCAGTTCAGTGGCACGCGCGGGTTGGCCGGAAGTCATGTGGACCAGCAGTAGCAGCCGTTGTAAGAACTCATCGACCCAGTTAAGATATTCCAGGAGGAGAGCTTTATTCCACTTCACAGCCGGACGAACTTCAGTCCTGGTGGCTGGGCCGACCTCAACAAAGTCCTTGCGAAGGGCCTCGGTGGCCATAATGCGGTCCAGCATCCATCTGTCACCACGCGTGGAGAGAAGCTGGCGGTTTTTCCTATGCTTCAGGAAGTTCCACCCACGCTGGTTGTTGACTGGATCATCAGTGAGCTGGTGCAGGGGCAGCTCTGGGATCGTACCAGCGCGTGCTTCACCTTCATTAAGCAGGAAGAGTCTCTCAAGCTCATATTGGGCAAGCTCCACTTGCGTGCGGATAAAGGCGGCCAGGGAATCCATAGTAAGCTGGAGATCCCGGTAGTGGAGTGACTGCTGATCACCACTCCAGATGAGAAATCCAAGGCTGGTGGATGTATTCTGCACTTTCTTGCCATAGGTGCGGAGACGGGCGATCCAGCTGAATGGATATCGGACGCCATACATCAGGAAACGTTCTTGCATCTCTTCAAGCGCATCGCCAGGGTGCTTGACCTCGTTCCGATCGGCCAGATCGACTGCCTGCTGGGTGACGAGCATCTGGGAGATCTTCACCAAGGCGGACAGGTATGTGGTATAGCTGCCAGGCTCGAAGTAAGTCTGGTTCTTGCTATCAACACCTAGCGCTGCCATGAAGGCAACCACAGGGCTCTCAAAGAAATCGCCACGGATCTCATGGTCTAGGAGCGCGAGAGACAGGTCCAGGCAGGCTTGGTCAAGATCCTTCATGGCCTGGCTGGTGGGTGTCTGAGTCTGGTCGCGGGGCGGGAGACCTGGATCGACGTTGGCGTCCTGCATAGAACCGGGGTCCCTCGCATGAAACAGCCGCTGGAGGGAGCCTTGGATGTCGTCAATGGCGCTGAGCTGGGAGGTGGTGAACTGGTGGCGAAGCTGGAGCTGCTGGTCGGGCTGACTCGTGCGATACGCAAAACTCAGGAGACGGACCCAGGTCCGGCAGTAGCCATGATACGTCTTGGGCCGGAGCTTGATCTGGATGGGGCGCTGCCAGATACCGGGTTTCTGGACAAAGCTGTTGATGCGCACTTGGTCAAACTCGTTGATACGATGAGAGACGATCGACTCAAATGCCCGATCGATGAGTCTTTTCACGCTCAGGCCAATCGCGACCAAGGTTGGCTCGGTCATGGGGTCCGGGTGGGAGGCAAGTTGGGCGATGTCCCGGAACGCATGCCCTCGAACATACTCAGGCCATCGGGTGAGCTCCAGCCACGGGGACGTGTCGGTGGCATTCTCGTCCGTTGGCGCCATCTGGTCTTCTGCATCCGCGATCCCATCAGATCGGAGGAGCGCCAAGTCCACCTGGGATCGGATATATGCAGCTTCATCGAGTTCCGGGGCCGGGGCCTTGGGGTCCGCCAGCTCCGCCGGATTGGGCGTGACAGCGAAGTAGACACTATGCGGCCCATATGGATGCAATCGCTGGCAGTACACCGGCTCCAGGGCCCGGAGTCGGAGTATATCGTCATCTGGGTCGACTGGTGGCCTCCCCGGGGGTAGACAGCATCGCGATGCTTATCTCCACGATGTTTGCCCATAGTGCTTCGGGTGCGGCACGCGTATCGACAGCCGTCGGCGGGACAGCGGTAGCCACGATGGACCGTTAATCCAGGAATTGGCCGGGAGTCAGGGGGTGGTGGGGTGAATGGCTCCGTGTCAGGGTTCCATGGGTTCGCCTTCATGGCTTCAGCATGAATAGCTGCCCGTTGGTCGCCAGTGCGGGCCATAGGGTGTTGTCGGTGCTTTGCGCCTAGGTGGGCAATCATGGTTTTGACATCCACCACATATTGACAGGTCTTGCAGATCCATAACCGATATGTGGCATTATATGTGAAGAATACCCCGATGGCGTCCATGGTGAGAGCGCTAGTGGAGAAGGCAGCGGTGAGTGAGGTCGATATAGAAAAACACAAGGTGTAGATTCAAAGAACTTGATCTAGGGAGGCAGGGAATAGGGGTTGAACGGCACTGGGGCCGATGTGATAGGTCATCCCGGAGAGTACCTCGGGATCTGACACGCGGGTGCGGGACTGCCGGAGGTCTGGCTGACCGATCTAGATATTCCAGCGCAATGCAACAAATAGCGACATCGAGAGATCAATAGTTGGGGAATCAAATCAGATATGGCCTCGGAATTATCAGGAACACGTCGATCTGGGCAGATCACATATGAGCCCAATGCACCCGGCAAACTGGGCTTGACAGTGTAAAGATATATATTGTAGTGGGGAGACCCCCTCCCCCTACTACATGGGTGCCATCCAGACTATGTGACATAGCCGGCAGTATACGGTGGCCGGATAGCCAGTTCTCGAATACACCTTCTTACACCTCCCCGACCTGACCCCTACATACGCGTGTGTTTTGTGGTGGTCTTTCTGCTGAATCGACCCGCACGTCCCAGCGCGTGCTGCCATCGAGCGTTCCCCTCTTCAATACATATACTGTAAAGACGGGGATACACATCTATACTCTAAATGTGATAATTCGGTGTGGTGAAGCTTAGGTCTGGTACGATCGTGCGACCGGAGTGTGGATGATTCTCCAACTGCATCATATAGCAATCCTTGGCCGAATGAATCGTGAATAGTCTATGGCTGTGCCCGGCAGGGTCGCTGCGGTCGGCGGTTGCGGATTTCGCGAATTTGATGGGGGCTATGATGCTCTTAAAATATGGGATATCAATCAATCCTCTGGCAATTAACCTCTGACATCTCGACGAAAAACTAGTCCTGTGAACTAAACCTGATGGGGGTGATTTTCGGAGTACGGCGGATGGACCACGGTCGGCGGGTGATGCGCGCTCCTGCAAAAACATCGGGCGTTTTCGAACCCCAGAAACCAAGCTTATATCAATATGGATTGGCCTCAAATTTGATCTGACTATCAAACCGAATTGCTTTTACAACATATTCAAATTTGGGGTATCTTTGTCAGCAAAAATGTCAACACAATGGGCCCCGAAACCCATTTTACGACGGCAACCCTAAAACCCTAGAAACCCTACGGCACATTGAATTTACGCCCATGGGGTGGGGTCCCGCTGCGGTCGGCGGTCGCGGACTGCGCGAATCTGATGGGGCGCGGGCCCTCCGGGCACGCACCGAGGGCGCCGGGAGCACGCACGGGGGACCAATCAGAGGGCGAAGAAGTCGAGCGGGCCCCGGGTGGAACACCCTCTAGAGTATATCCCAGTGGATCTTGTTAAGGAACCAGCCATAGCCGTGGCGTTGAATAGTGGTTCCCAGTCCAATGCCCTCCCGATACTGAATCTGGCCATTGGACCCCGGAACTTCTTTCACGTCTTGCCAACACGCCCGGCTTTGCTCTAACCGGTTCCCGCCTCCGCCAAATGCCCGTCGGAGACAGCGGAGGAACAGGATCATTACCTGGGTGCGATCCCAGGACACCATAGAATGGCGCTGCAGACTATTTGTTAACTCGAATCCCGCACATAGCCGATTTATGTTCCACCGGACCCATTTAAGGATAGTCGCAGTGGAATGGATATAGAATGGTTGACTTGATGGATTTTGAACCACCCGTTGAGTCGCGCGGCGTCGCTGAAACTCCTGATTAATTTGGATCAGGAGGTCTTCGCGCACCCGATGCTCTTCCCGGGTCCCAAAAGATTTTCCAATAGATGCATCGATTGCAGTGGCACACCGGGACTTGCTGTGGATGTACGCGCGATGGAGGGTGTTTCGGTCATGAAAACCTTTCCCGATATGCTGCCAAGTTTGATATGACTCGTGGTCCAGGGCTGGAGCCTCTAACAGTGGATTACTGAAGGGGTACTGATTTCCAGCCGCAAAGATCTCTTTGACCGAGTTGTAGAACTGGCTGTAAAGGAGCCCGGTCTTACGGAGGTGAGATCTAGTCCGGGTTTGGATCGTCAAGGACCCTGTATCTCGGAGAAACGAGAAAGGATAAAATATTGTCTTCCCCGGGTTCTGGACTAGCGGGGAGCGGAGAAGCTTGTCTAGACAGCATTGTTTCCAGAGCAGAGTTTGCCCCCGGATGGGCTGGCCAGAATCGGGGGTAATAGGACATGTTTCCTTCCCAATATCAAAGAAGACCTCGTGAATATAACTCTGGTTGGCAGTGCTGCTCCATAACTGTTGAAACCGATGTTGCATATCGGACCAGGTCGCGGACTGTGTACGGAGCTTTAGGTTCTTAGCACTCAGGAAAAGACGAACCCCCTGGAATTCGTCTAGCCCCTTTGCTCGAATAATTTGATGAACAGCCTGCCAGATATGATCTAGGTGCTCGGGGGGCAGAAAGTAGCTGAGTAGCTGTTGACGGGACTGTGTCTGGATCGATCGGCCCTCCGCCCACGCCGCCCATGAGTTTGAGTTGCTATGACTGAAACTGGAAGGGAAATGCTGTAGCCGGGCATCGGAGTAGTATTGATGGACCGCTGGGAGGAGGATATCGTCTATCCAGACCCGAAACTGATCATCTGGCAGTCGGCTAGACTTCTGCTGGGGCTGATGGAGTCTAGGGAACAGGGCGTAGATCGATGCATCCTCGAATCCCGACACCCGGGCAAACGTGTAGTGCTTAACGCGATGTAGCGGTACTGAGACGCAATGTAGGTGACCGTGGCCATCTGTGAACTGAACCGGGAGTGGATCTAAGTGAAGATCCGACTGGAGGTCCGAGACCGGCCGCTGAACAGGATACCAGTAGAGGCCTTGGGAACAGACAGCTGGACTGGTTACATGAGCTAAGACACTGTCAATATCGAAGTGGACGGCTGCTGGCCCTAACTTCTGTTCTCCCCGGGCCAAGCAGATAGCAGGCACGCTGCTGGGTTGTCCCGCATCGGTTCCGCAGAAGACTTTTTCACGCTGTTCTGGTGGCCAGTCCTCGATCAATTGGTCACCAGACCTGGCCAGTCTGGTAGTGCTGAGCACGTCGGGACAGGGCCAGCTGAAGACCTCGTTCAGACCGTGGCTCGGTGATCCGACTGGGTTCCGCTCGTGCTTATATCGCGTATGGCAATCAATGCAGCACTCGGGAGACCGGAGGAGCTGTTCCGCGAGTAGCGCTCCGGTACTTTTCGTTTCTTGGTCTGGAGTGGGACTCTCTAGCTCGGTATCCGAATCGACGATGATGTCAGGATCTGGCACGTCCACATCAGGCCACACGTCATTCGTGTCGCTCAGAATACGTGTATGATCACAGCCGGACTGGTTAGGGGATCGGATCGGAGATTCTTCGTTATCCTCGCTGATCAGTGCCGCGGGCGATGATTCGCTAGTCCGTGAGGGATCGAGCGGATGATGATCTGGATTTGCGTTCACAGGTATGCTATCTGGCAAAATAAAGGTCGAGTCGGCGGACAGAGATCGAGGGAGAGCGGCACTTCCAGGTTCAATGACTGCAGTTGGTGTGGGGCTCAGAGGAAGCGAGAGCGGCTGAATGTCTCCAGGCAGCGTGGGTTCCTCTCGGGGAAGGGCAAACGAGGGAGTGGTAGGAAGAACAAGCCCAGCAACAGGCTCGGCGGTTACGCGAGCGAGATTGGCACAGTACGGACCGATTTGAGACGCATAGTTGGCAGCCTCGGCAGCCCTGGCGGACTGTCGCCGTCGCTGATGCCGTCGTTGAATCGTGCGAGCCTCGCGCCTCTGCTCCACGGATGGGTATTTTCGTGGTCGGCCACGCTTTCGAATATTAGGACCTGTGGCTAGTAATGTCATGTTAAACTTGGCTCCTCAGCGGTCGATCGCACGTGGGGATGAGAAGCGCTGGATTCACCCCTGCAAGGCATGGTCAACAGGGCGGATGGAAATAGGGGCTGCAATGAATAAGTTCGCGGCACTAATTGAGGACACAAGATTCGATAGGTCAGAAAATGCATATCTGATCAAAGAGTAAGAAAGTTACACTAATGACCAAAAGAGGTTTAACTTGGCACTATTCCAAAATCGGTTTAGCTGTCGCCGAAAATCGATCACTGTCGCCGAAATTATGAACTTCAAAAAGTCCCCAAATTCCCTACCTTCTTTTGGCTCAACCAGAGGTGTTGGAGGAGTTTCAAGTGTGGATTCTGATTAAGCAGATCTTCTTTAACCTCTATCTACGAGACCAAATCCCTGCGACCCTGGGGTGGCTCTGGTCCTGGCCATGAATTACCCGTTAGAATGAGAAGCTTCTCGAGGAAGTCCGAGCTCTACGGGCACAAATTAACGCCGTCCCACCGACGTCCCCGACCAGATCTTGGGCCACGGTTGCAGCTGCTGGCAGCAACCTAGACCCCCAACCAAACCACCGACGCCCCGACAAGGACCAGAACTGTGTCCGGATTAGCACCCAGCGATTGTTTGTGGACCCAGACGATAACGACAGTAGTGAAGGAAACACCTTTGGCCGATACCTCTCCACCGAGTCTGCCAACACCCACATCCGTACGGCGCTACTAAACGCGCCCTCCACGCAAGATGCCGAGGTCGCTGGAATTGGCACCACTAAGACCGGATATGTTATTCGGTTCAAAAACCAAACGTCCGCTAGCGCGGCCCGCAACAACACCGAGTGGTTGAACGAACTCGGGAACAATACGAAACTGGTGAAACCACGGTTCGAAGTGGTAGTCCACCGCACACCGACAGAGAACTTTGATTTAGAAAACGCAAACGCGCAGGCTATTGAGAAAATAATGGAAGAAAATGATCTAGGAGGACAGGGCTTCCGGATCGAAGAAGTGGCGTGGCTCAAGAAAAAGGACAAGGTGTTAGGGAAGTTCGCATCGCTAGGTATCTGGTTCGACTCCCCAGAAGGGGCCGAAAACATCCTGAACAACGGCCTTCTTGTCGGCCAGAGATACATTGGCAGCGTGGAACGGCGCGAGATTAAGAAAAAGAGATGCTTCCGGTGCCAACGATTCGGACACCTGGCGTGGTCCTGCAAGGAAACACCGCGCTGCGGACATTGTGCAGGCCCACACGAGCGACAGCGATGCCCTCCAGGTGTCAGAGCCCGATGCCTTGATTGTAGCGGAGAACACCCAACGGGCGATCGACAATGTTCAACCCCCGCGACTCCCAACTCCCAATGTTAAGAACCAACCTACGCGTGTTACAGTTGAACATTATGAAGTCGGGGCCAAGAATGGAAGCCCTCATCAACGATCACCAAAGCCAGAACCTAGATGTGCTCCTAATCCAGGAACCATCTATCACCACTTACCGAACACATGTCAACCACAGCGGCTGGCGGCTATACCGCCCGACGTCTGAGGCTGACGCAGTACGGTTCCGCAGCCTAATCTATGTCAACCGGCGAGTCTCGACCTCTTCACACCGGCAGCTTCGGTGCGATCACCCCGATATTACCGCTATTAAGATCTGGACTGCCGACTCCCAAATTCTACTCTTTTCTGTGTATATCCCATGTGTCCCGCTACACACGCCTAACGACGCGTCAGCGGAACCAGCGCTGACAGCAATCCAAAACACGGTCACAACTGCCCTACAGGACGACCGACGGTCTACGAGTATCGTCCTCTCGGGTGATTTCAACCGTCACCATCCGTCCTGGGGCGGCAACCACATCCAACCAAGGCTTATCGAAGATGCAAGCGAACTGATCACCTTCTTCCAAACTCATAGTCTACACAGTTGTCTCCCCCGGGGAACAGCGACGTATTGGTCACTGAACGACCCTGGAAGGAGCTCTACTATCGACCAGACTGTAACGAACAGGCCAGAACTACTGATTAAGTGCCATCTCTACCACGAAAACTACGGATCGGACCACCGCGCCACATACTCAGAGTGGAGTCTCCAAGCTCAATACAATCCAATCGCCAAGCCAAGGAAAGCCTACGACCGTGCAGACTGGGGCAAGATCGGCGAAGAAGTAACGCGGAAGATGGAACCGTGGAAGGAAATCAAAACTCGGCCGACACTAGACGAGACCGTCCAAAGACTCACAGAAACGACAGCGGCAGCCGTGAACCGGTTCACGCCCGCCCTCCGACCGTCCCCGTATGCTAAGCGCTGGTTCACACCGGACCTTAAGGCACAGCAAACTAAGGTCAATCAACTACGGCGGAAGTGGCAAGAGAGTTGTAGTGAGCTCGGGCGAGACCACCCCTGCTCTATGACACTCTTCCGAGAAATGCAACAGAAACGACGAGAGTGGACCCGGACTATCGAGAAAACTAAAGCAGCACACTGGAGACAATTCCTAGATGAGGCCGGAGAAGGGAAGCTGTGGAAGGCTGCCACCTACATGAAACCGCGAGAGGCTTGGGGGTGTGTCCCGGCCTTGCAAGTCGGCAACCGTGAGCTCGCTGAGAACGAAGATAAAGCGCAGGCATTCCTAGATGCCTTCTTCCCCGAAACGTTACCACCCGACCAGCACGTGTCGTCCCCGGCTCCTCTGGAACTCCCATGGCAACCAATCACCGACCTAGAGATAGAACGATCAATCAACGCGGCAAAGGGGTCCACAGCACCTGGCGACGATGATCTTCCCATGCTCGTGTGGAAGCACCTATGGAAATACCTGAGACCATTCATCACTAGTATATTCACTGCATCAGTGAACCTAGGATACCACCCGAAACAGTGGCGTTGTGCCAAGATAGTGGTGTTACGGAAACCCGGGAAACCAGACTACTCGAAACCGGGAGCCTACCGCCCTATCTCCCTCCTTAACACGCTGGGCAAGCTTCTAGAGGCGGTCATGGCTAGACGACTATCGTACCTAGCAGAAAAACACGGTCTGCTCCCAGATACCCAGTTAGGTGGGCGACCGGGAAGAACCACAGAACAGGCCCTGTTAGTGCTCTCTAATGCGATCGACCGAGCATGGTATAGACACAAAGTGGTTACTCTCGTTTCGTTTGACCTAAAAGGAGCCTTTAACGGCGTCAAAAAACTGAGTCTGGACGCCGCCCTGCGAGCTAGAAGGATCCCTGGAATAGCAAGGAAGTGGATCGCGAGCTTCATGAACGACCGCTACGCCAGTATAGGGTTCGATGATTACCGCTCTGAGACATCACCACTAGCGAACGCAGGCCTGGCACAAGGATCACCGCTCTCGCCTATCTTGTTTGCGTTCTTTAACGCTGACCTAGTTGACCAAGCTGTCACCTATCAAGAGGGCGCATCAGCCTTTATTGATGATTACTTCCGCTGGCGAGTAGGCCGCTCAGCTGAGGAGAATCTGGCCAAAATACAATCTGAAGATATCCCCCGCATCGAAGCATGGGCGCGTCGAACTGGGTCCTGTTTTGCAGCTGAGAAAACCGAGCTCATCCACCTCACTAGGAAAAGGGGCGAACAGCTCCAAGGTCAACTAGTCATAAACAGACAGACAGTCAAACCGTCTCCTACAGCTAAGCTGCTAGGCGTGGTCCTCGACCAGGGCCTACGATGGAAAGAACACGTCCAGCAGGCCATCAAACGCGCAACTAAAGTAGCCATCGCACTGGGCGGGCTACGACATCTACGCCCAGAACAGATGCGACAGCTCCACCAGGCCTGTGTCACACCGGTGATGGACTATGCATCAACCGTCTGGCACGATCCACTAAGAGACAAGACTCACCTTAGACACTTGGGCACAGTGCAAAGGACCTCGCTGATTCACACCCTATCAGCGTTCAGAACTGTGGCCACTACGACCTTAGAAGTTGAAGCACATGTCCTCCCCACACACCTCCGTCTCCGCCATCGAGCCCAGAACACTATCGCTAGACTCTTCACTCTACCTCGCGACCACCCTATTTGGAGTGCACTATCACGTGCCCAAAAACGCAGGAATAATATTGGGTCGTCCGCTCGGTTCCCACTAGCGGAAGCGTTAAAAACTATGAGCCTAGAAAGATTAAATGAACTAGAGACGATCGACCCACGACCGCTGCCCCCATGGAGGGCAAAACCTTTCGCAGAGATTGAAACAGAGACGGACCGAGAAACGGCAGAAGGAAGAGCCGAGACGGCACGGACCACATCTGATATTGTCGTCTACACAGATGCCTCTGGTCGACAGGGCCACTTAGGCGCAGCTGTCGTAGCGCTCAACAACAGCCTAGAGATCGTCGAGTCTGAGCAAGTCCAGGTGGGACCCTCGGACCGCTGGTCGGTCCACGTCGCGGAACTGATAGGCATCTTTTATGCGGTCAGCGTGGTGTTCAAGATTGCCCACCAACGCCCAAGGACAACAGACAAGGAACAGACAACAGCAACGATCCTATGTGATAGCAGGTCAGCTCTACAGGCAATCCAAAGCGTGAGAAACAAATCAGGGCAACGAATCGTCCACGCAATCCTCCAGTCGGCGACTGAAGTTCAAGCGGAGGGAATCATGCTCCGTCTTCAATGGGTGCCAGGGCATTGTGAGAACCCGGGAAACGACGCAGCAGACCGACTAGCCAAGGAGGCAGCATACCCAGGCAAAACCCACCCCTTTCGCCCGCTGCTCACCAGAAAGAGAGCATTCATCCGCGGCAACATCGCTGCCCAATGGGAACAAGAATGGAAGTCATCCACTAAAGGGTACCATCTGCGGAAGATAGACAGCAACTTACCGGCGACCTACACTAGAAAGCTATATGGAAACTTGCCCAGAAACCGGGCGTACCTGTTGATGCAGATGCGCACAGGCCACAACTGGTTATCTACCTACGCTAAGACCTTTGGCTTTCGCGATGACGATCAGTGCACGTGTGGAGCGCAGGAAACGGTGGTCCACGTACTAGTGGACTGCCCAAGTCTGAGGGAACTGAGAAGGGAATTAAGAAGAGAAGTTGGAGACGCGTTCAACAGCGTGTCGAGTCTGCTGGGAGGCTCTAAAGAAGGTGAGAAAGGTAAACCAGACACCGTCTCGCGAGCCAGGACGGTCAAGGCCGTGCTGGACTTCGCCGAGGCGTCACAGCGGTTCCAAAGTCGCGCGCCACGAGAGCAGCCTAACAATGGGAACGGCAATTAGGCCACGACAGGCCTTGACGAGGCTCTAAGTTCGTTATCAGGAAGTGGAACACTCTACATGTACGTGCATTAAGATATATAGTGGTTGTAGCCTGCATATCGCTTTTGCAGTTGGATCCCAGGTCAGGTCACGTGACATATAGATATTATCATATTGGAGTGGCAGCCTATCAGGCTGCCACTACCACTCTAGGCAGAAGGTAGCTACTGTGACTACAAATAGCTGCGCTTACTTGCATAGCTAGAGAATGATTAACACACTGGTACCTCAATTCAGGGTCTCAACTGGTTATGAGCCTCTTTTTTCCATTCTAGACTTTGGATTGAAGCAGGTGACCAGACCCCAGACACCTGACCCCAGACCCAGACCACACCCAGAACCAGACCCAGAACCAGACCCCAGACCGAGACATTAGCTCTCAGCACCAGACATGACAAACTTCGAAATGGACGAAGTCAAGGCCGACCGCAAGCTCAAGGGCAAAATCAACTTCATCAGCTGGAAGCGCGAGTTCGAGCGTGCGGCCAAGGCGAATGATACCTTTGAATATCTCACAGGTGAAGAAGTTGTTCCCCCCAAACCTAGAAAGGAAGACTACTTCACGAAGACTGGCGAAGCCGAAATTCGTCGCTCTACACGGACCAAGAAAATTTCAACTCCAACAGTTGACGACGGTGATGAAACAGATGATGCCCAGGCTATTCTGGTTACTACCAACAACAACCTCCGATGGCAGATTGACTACAATGAACATAAAAATGCCAGGGAGAAGATGAAGCTCGCTACCAAATTGCTGGACACTTGGGTCTCAGACGGCATCAAGATTGAGATCGAGGATTGCACCAACGCCAAGGAAGCCTACGACTTCATCAAAAAACGATACGCAGTCACTCATGAACGTGCGCGTGACAGCCTGTTGAACCAATTGAGTCTGATCAAGCTTGACGACTGTCTATCTGTGACCGACTATACGAACAAAGTTCACCAGGTCAAGGCTGACCTCAAGACCGTCAAATATGACATGACCGACGATATGTTCGCTACCGCTCTGCTTCATGGCCTTCCTCCCAGCTATCGCGCCTTCAAGGAAAAGTATGACTGGATCCGCTCGACCAAGCCCGACGACCCTCCGGATCTAGACTACCTTTATGAGCGCCTACACGTCGAAGAAGCTCAACAACTTCGACTGAGGGAGGAGAGGAGGGCCCGCGAGAGGGCCAGAAAGGACACGAGCGTCGACGCTGGCAACAGAGGCTACAGCGGCCGATATAAGCCGAGTCGCGCGGATAAAAGCCACTTGAAATGCACCTATCCCGACTGCGGCAAAACCGGCCACACCGAGGAGACCTGCTGGGTCAAGAGCCCCGAGAAAATCCCACGATCTCTCAAGGACAGATTGCCTACCCACATCGATAACAAGCCCATGAGCGAGAAAGCCGGCATGGCAGGTGTCGTTAAAACGGATCCTGTCCCCGACAGAGATGTCTCTATCCGTGCTGATTCCCTAGGTACGACTCCCTTCTCCACAACTCACGTAAACTCAGCTGACTCTTCGCCACAGAAGCGTAGTGCTGTGTTGTGCACCGAATTGCGAGAATTAGGGGGAGCTACTACTAGGGGGTCAGGAATCAGGAAATTGAGTTTCTCAGAGCGGGTTTTGGGAGCATTCTTGACAGGCACCTTCTGTACCACAGACACATGGCTAGCTGATACTGGAGCAAATATGCACATCGTCAATGACATCAAGTGGTTCAAGGATAATACTTTCCGTTCGTTCAATTCAAATATCAGCACCGCAGATGGATCTACTACCCTTGAAATAAAGGGTGGAGGAGTCGTTCAGCTCATTCTTAAGAGCCCTGATGGGTTCCCGGTTAAAGTATCGCTATCAGAGGTCGCCTACGCTCCTCAGGGAAAATGCAACCTATTCTCGGGCGGCTTGTTTGTCCAGAAGGCAAAGGTAACTGGTGTCTACAACGATCGTTATATGACATGGATCAATGATCATGGACACACTATCGGACATGCCATCTTTGGCAAGGGCCTGTATCAACTTGATGCTACAAGACTCTCCAAGGGACATGACCCAATTGACGGCATTGCTGCCACAGTGGATTTCGATGACCCTGTTTGGAAATGGCATCGGAGACTGGGACATCTTGGATTCCAAAACATGTTAAGTTTGTTGGATTCCTCCACCGGAATGGAGATCACTGCCAAACAGATCAAGGCAAAGCTCAAGGCCGTTTGCCCTATATGTGCGACTACAAGGGCCCTGGTAAAGATTCCCCGTGACCCCGCTAAACGTCATGCCCAAACACCGGGATGGATGGTGCATGCTGACGTGTGGGGACCATACCCAATCGAGGGATTTGATGGCACTAGATATTTCCTCTTCATCACGGACGACTGTACACGGTATACGTGGAGCGCACGATTCGATAAGAAATACCAGCTCTTCGAAGTTTTCAAATCGCTAGTGAAACTGATCCAGAACGCTTTCAATATCACTATCCGGTGTTGTCGCCTTGACAATGAATTCGAAAGGGGGCCGATCGGCAGGTGGTGCGAATCTCATTCTATCGCCCGAGAACCGATCGAGCCCTATGCTCATTACCAAAATGGAGTCGCGGAAAGGACTAACCGGACAATCCGAGAAAAAGCTGCACCTATGGTTCAGGAGGTATCCATTTCCGGGCAGGTCTCCAAAATCATTGCGGAGAAGGGCACCGAGCTCTTACGTAACTCCAGAATCCCCGAGAATCTCTGGCCGGAAGCCATACAACACGCAGTGTGGCTCAAGAATCGAACTCCAGCACGTGCTCTGCGCAAAAAGGACGCAAAAACACCATACGAAGCTTTAAGGGGAACCAAACCCGCGCTCACAAGAGAGCGGATATGGGGGAGCCGGGCATATGTTACCTATCCTCAAGAGCTGAGGAGCACGGCAGAGATGAAAAAGTTACACAGCCCTCGTGGATGGTTGGGCTACTTTGTTGGATGCGAGAGTGAGGCGATGTATCACATTTACTCTCCGGAAAAACACAGGGTTTATCGAATTGGCGTTGCCAGGGTCGAAGATGGTGAAGGTTTGGATGACCCTCAGAATGCGCCCTGCTTGGAGGATAGAATCTCCACCCCAGATGTTGCGGTCTCAAGCAACATCCCCTCGGAAGATGAAAACGACTATTCTAGTGACGCAGGCAGTGATCACTCTGAAGACGAACACCACATCAACACTCCTGAAATTCCTGTCGAACAGACCAACCAGACGGCTGCCCGAAATAAGGGCAACGTTCCGAATGACGGAGAACAACCCATTTCAGAAATGACGCACGAATCGGAGGACGGGGTCGACGACTCCGACGACGAAGATGAGGCCAGCGAAACAAAGTCAGGATCTAGAGTGGTGTCTAAGTATTGGAATCGATTCAGTTATGCTGGCATGGCCAAACGCAAGATTGATGAGGACACATTAGTGGCACCGAAAAACAGCCGTCGAGCCACTCACGACCTACGTGGCACCAACAAGGATGATTCCTCCTCAGATCTGTCGGACTTGAATGATGACTCATGGTACTACTCAGAAGATGGAGCTATTTCTCAAGCTTACTGGCGGTTTGTCGCAAAGCATGGCGGGAATCATATGAAGAATTTCTTTCCTGATAATGATAAATGCGACCGTTGTTTTCGGAATGGTCGAAAGTGCGACTCTGCCGAAAATGGGATGCCATGTTCAACCTGCAGAAAGGACAACCAAGCATGCAGACCGCAGTCAAAAAGAACCAAACGGCTAGTACTCCCTGAGAACCGCCGTAGACAGAAACGGATCGGAAGATTACAGCAGGAGCAGCCATGCCGAAGGTGCTTCCAGACAAGCCGCAGCTGTTTTCTTCTTGACCCTAATATCCAACAGTGTGAGGGATGTCAAAAGTCAAACCTACGGTGTAACTGGAGCCTGGACGGTGCAAGGAGATCAACCGCCCGTCAAGAAAAGAGAGAAGCTGAGCGACAGGCAAGATATGAAAAACTTGGATTCGTCCCAGTGCCTCGTGACCAGAAATGCTCCAGATGCGCCGCGAAAATCATGGCTTGCGATGGAAAAATCCCGTGCAACAGGTGCAACACTCTACTCCAGCGTCTATCGTGTCGACCACAGGGCGTTGACGATTTGCCTCCATGCGATCAATGCAGTTACCGAACTCAGATTGGAAGTGGGAAAAAGTGTGACCGTGGACGACCCTGTAAGGCGTGCATCAACAGAAAGTCAACATGCAGTTACAGAGCCCAGAACGGTCTGCTGACGAGACTCTACCACGTACCCGACTCACCGCTCCCGATTGGCTTCTCTTCAATAGGCCCATTGGGAGAAGGAGAGTCGTCCGACGAAGAATGCATACGCTGCCGAAAGGGCAAATTGAATTGTGACGGAGAGCAACCCTGTTACCCATGTGTCAAAGCACAACCTAGTCCCCACGTCGCTAATTGCAACTACCGACGCTCTGACGGGACATACGAATCATGGGCGATTCGCCCATTTGAGTTGACACCCCTGGGCGGGCCAAAGCTTCGGGAGGATTACGAAAAGCACACCGGTCGAAGGAAGTCTAGGAGAGAAACATCCGAGACCGGCCAACAGGAGAAGAATGAACTTGCCCCATATGCAACGCAAGAGAGTATCGACACCGACCTCGATGACAACAACGTCAGTACTGATCAACAGGTGGCCAAGAATAGCCACAAAAGTTTCAAGTTCGGGCTGTCTGCATACAGTGAACGTACTCCACATGCTCTCCAATTAAAACCGCACAACACTTCCAGTGCAAAGTATCATCAGGCTAAGATAGAAGAGCTGAAATCTCATGAAGAAAAAGGCACATGGAAGATCGTTCCTCTCAGGAAAGGGATCAAACCGATTACCTCACGATGGGTCACCACCGACAAATACGGACCAGATGGTACGGTCACAAGACATAAGGCTCGGCTGGTAGCCAGAGGTTTTCAACAGGAAGAGGGTCTTGATTTTGAGGAAACGTTTGCGTCCGTGGTCAAGCCCGCTTCAACCCGCATCTTGCTTGCATTGGCGGCTATTCTTCATTGGCATATTCACCAAGCAGATGTCAAAACAGCATTCCTGAACAGCACCTTGGACAAACCAGTCTACATGAAGGCCCCGAGAGATGTACAGTTGCCCGGTGGGTACTGCTTGCTTCTCATCAAGGCACTCTATGGACTGAAGCAATCACCTCGTGCGTGGTACGAAAAGCTCCGGGACACTCTGATTGGTTGGGGCTGGCGCATGTCCGCTTACGACCCATGTGTTTTTATCAACGACAAGTTCGGGCTCTGGCTGGAAGTTCATGTGGACGACATAAACGTCATGGGCAGAAGCCTTCAGGCAATTCTTGATTTCAAAGTTCAATTCGCAAAGCAATTTCCGATTTCCGACGAGGGCGAATGCTCCTGGTATTTGGGCATGCACATAGAGCAGAAGCCTGGGCAAATCCACGTCCATCAAAAGCAATACATCGACCAAATCGTCAAAAAATATGGATTCGGAGACGCTGCCCCAGTTAAGACGCCTCTGGACAAAAATATCAAGCTCGCGAAGCAAGACGGCTACATCGCAGACTCGAAATTTCGCAAAGGATATCAGTCCAAGGTCGGATCGCTCAATTTTGGCAGCAATCAGACACGGCCAGATATTGCCTTCGCTACAGGTTACGTAGCTCGGTACGCGTCCAATCCAAATCAAGCTCACATGGACGCCGTGGATCGCATCTTCGCCTACCTGAAAGGTGATCCGGCGAAGGGAATTGTCTATTCGGACAAACACGGTCTTCAGGTGATGGGTTTTGTGGATAGCGACTTTGCGGGGTGTGAGGACTCGCGTAAGTCAACGACTGGGTGGGTTTTCACGCTCGCCGGAGGCCCTATATCTTGGTCGTCTCAAAGACAAAAGACTGTGGCCACGTCCACTATGGATGCAGAATATATTGCGTCCGCTGAAGCTGCGAAGGAAGCAGTGTGGATTCGCAACTTCATTAATGACCTTCGCATTCCCGGGGTATATGTCAACGCAATCCCACTGTACATCGACTGCAACTCGGCCTTGAAGCTTACAAGAAACCCGGAATTCCACAACAAGTCCAAACACATCGACGTAAAACACCACTTCGTGCGTGAAAAGGTGGAGGAGGGGCTAATCAACACCCAGCGCGTCAATACAAAGGACAATCTGGCGGATGTCTTCACCAAAGCTTTGCCCAGGGCTACCCATGAGGACCTGGTTAACCGTCTGAACCTCCAGTCAGGGGGAGGTTCTTCGGATTTACCCAAAGAAGGAAAGGTGAAGAATGACTTGGATTCTGGGATCTTTTCAGGTGCCTCGGCCCCTCCGGGTCCTTGGCACAGGGGGAGAGTTGGATCTAGGCCTCGCCAAAACCCGCCCACGGCCCAAACCCGCCCACGAAAACCCGGCCCACGGGTTGGGTTGGGTCTTAGTCAGCAAACCCGTGGGCGGGTTGTCTGTTGAAATATCACGGTTACTGGGATAATCATGGGGGCTGGGATCACGTGCATGCCTATATACCTGTTCACCAGTCTACCTGTATCTAACACAATCAACTCCCCTAAACAACATGAACACTGAAGCATCACTATAAATCAACAGGTTATGAGCCCGGCAATGCTCACCTCAAACTGGAGAATACTTTCTACTCCTAAGTTTCCCCCTTAAGTGAAAGCTTCATACATATATTGACTGAACTGGAATTTCTCATTTAGTTCTTCAACCGAGAAGACATTTTTTCTGAGGATCAACAGGCAAACGAATTGTGCGAAATCGTCTCACAAGGCTGACAAAGCCACCACACCGCTACAGAAAGTCGTTAGACCAATGATGGTCTATAGACATGTTTCACAACAGACAACATCGTCTTACACCGCTACAAACGTCACACCGCTCCAGACGTATCACATTGCCACCAGAAACGACCTGCTCTCTGTAGCATGCTAGGAATCCATTTCCTCTCAAATCCCTGGCATTCTCGGAAAAGGACATTCCACTATTTTGACCTATGACGAGAAGGAAAGGATCATACAAGGGACACAGATGGACTGAAGAAGAGCTCAACTTGGTATGCTATCTTCGATACATCCGCCAGTGGCGCTTCTCGCAAATCCAAAAAGCGAAGTTTCCATTACTTTCCCGACACGCACTCGGCGGGGCCTATAGGCGTTTACCTCTGGAAGAGCGCACTCGCCGGGCGATCGCTGCTGCGCCTGTTATCGCCAACTCCCGGCATACCACAGGACACAGTTCTCCACGTCAAGTTCGACCTTCGTTCTCCAGTCCAGAGCAGGGTCCAAATCACCTCAACTCAACAAGCACTGAGATTGGACATGCACCGTTGACCTCAAATGGGAATAACTCAAATCGGTACAACCTCCGACCAAACAGACCGACAACCTTTCAAGAGCGAAAGCCACGATATATGGTTGACCGCGTCCGCTTTCCTCATTTCTTCGAGTCGTATCGCAATCACCTCAAACCATACGACCTATCGGACAGTGAATACATTCCTCCATCGCATACGCCTACTCCAGGCTCATCGGATTATTCCCACTCCATCAGCTCTAGTCCGCCCAGCGAGATATCAAGCCTGGAACTATTCGGTCTTGAGGCGCGGTCTCCCGAGCTGTCAAACTGCACGCCTTCTGTCCACTCAATTCACTCAAGTGGCTCGTCAAGTGCCGAATTCTTTAGCACCGAAGAGCCCTGAAAACCACCACGATGGATTCGAATAAATTTGAACAAATAGGCTTGAGCACATTCTATCATGCCATACCAACACTCGATAATGCCAACGACTGGTCACAGTGGAACCAGAAAGTCAAGGAGTTTCTTCGAATATCTCCTGTGGCTAAGGATGAAGCCATCCCACCTCTGGAAGAAGAGGAGGCGCAGCAATGGTCTCACCGCCAGACGTTCTACTCGGCAATGATCGCGGCAAAGCTGACCCACAATGCGGCTCAGCGGATAAACGCCTTCGAAATCACCCGAGTCCAGTCACTGATCAAAGCGGTCAAAGAAAGCTTTAAGCCGGAAGGTTCAGGAACATACGTGAATCTTCAGAGGAGGTACATGTCACTTACCCGGGCAAAATGTGGGAGTGCACAAGCCCTCGGGGCCGAGATCAGAAAGATCCATGCCGAGAAACTTTTACTCGACCCCGCATGTGTCACTTCTGAGATTGAACGAACTTTCTTCTTCCTCCATGCCTTAGGTCCAGAATATGAGAGTTTCCGCGACCATGTCTTTCGGCAAATGGACATTGTCAATGATAGAGATGAGGACGGAAATATCACCAAAGCAGCTCCTACATTCGACTACATTGAGAACAAGGCCATTGAAGAGGAACACAGAAAAGGACAGCTGGGCAACCAACCCGCAGATGCAAATGCCCTTCCTGCCTTCACACTCAGTCGAAGACTTGAAGACAAGAAAGTCATACCGTCTCCAGATGGGAAAACTTGCCGGATCGAGATCAACAATGTCCCCTTCTGTCTTTTCTGTCGAAAACCCTATCACAGAGAGCCGCAGTGTTTCAAGAAGAACCCTAAACCGAGGGACCAAGGAAAGGAGAGAACGACGCGCAGATCAAACCCCAAAGATGCGCATGCGGACCATCGTAATTCATCAAAGAGGCGGGCCAGTACGGATCATGAAGACGACGATTCAGAAGGACCGAGAGACCCCAAAAGACCGACGTTTATGGCGACACAAGCCTCAAAACAGGATATCAATGCAGCATTCGGAGCCGAAGTTGAAGGAAATGTTGCCACATTTGATTTCATTCCCAGCATGATGGTCACGAAGGCTCCCTCGATCAGTGAGGCCTGGATCGTGGACAGCGGATGTGCCCAGCACGTCTGTAACAATGCCTTGAGATTCGTTAAGATGGACAAATATGACGGTCCACCATTGCGAAGCGTCGATACCTCAACGGCTCCTTCCGGCATAGGAGTGGCAAATATCTTGTGCAATGTACGAGGAAGAAAGAAATGGCTTGTTCTAGATGACGTCTTGTTCGTCCCGACTGCGCATGCGAATCTCATATCCGTGCTGCAGCTTCTCAATCGGGGGGCAAAGATTGATTTCTCGAGAAATGGCGCCTTTATTCGGAACAAATCAGATGGGAGAAATCTGTTCACTGCGAGCCAATATCATGGAGTCTACGCACTCGACCTATGGTCGAAACCTGCTTTTCCAGCCTACCATGTCAGCCCGCAATCGGCACTTTGGCACAATAGGCTCGCTCACATGAGCGGTGCGAACATACAACGACTCAAAAAGCAAGCTCACGGCATTCAGGACGATACACCACGCCAACCTTGCAACGCATGCCTTCAGGGAAGAATGATTGAAACCCCCCATCGCCGTTCAGAAGCGTGCAAAAGAGCCACATACGCCATGGAACTCCTCCATATCGATGTTGCAGGACCTTTTGAGGAGGGCCTTGATGGTAGTCGCTACTGGCTAACCATTGTTGACGACCATACTGGATGGGTTGAGATCGTCCCCATACCACAACGGCAAGAATACGTCGTGGAGTCCTTGCGGTACTTCCTCGACCACAATGAGCGCCCTGAGCGCAAATGCAGGCGCATTCGTCTTGACCGGATCCCGGAACAAGTGGGAGAAGAAATGAAATTTACCCTCTTCTCGAGGGCAATCCGAGCCGAAGTCACGGGCGTCGACCAGCACCAGCAGAATGGGGTAGCGGAAAGAGCCCACAAGACAATTTACGACCGAGTCGGACCAACGCTCAGGCATGCGAAACTACCGCCCAAATTCTGGCCGGAGATTGCGCGAACTGCGGCATTCCTCTCAAATCGATCCCCATCATCCAAACGCAATATGACTCCGTACCAAGCTTGGTATGGTGACAAGCCTGACCTGTCACGGCTGAGAGTCATAGGATCCAAGGGAGAGTACCTAATTCCACCCAAACAAAGAAAGAAGCTGACGGGACCAAGAACAAGGCCATGTCTACTATTGGGATACGAAGGTAATACAAACTATCGCATCCTGCTAGAAGACGGCAGAATCATTGGTACGCCAAATGCAGAATTTTATGAAGTCCTCAACACTCCCTCCACGCAGACCATACAAGACGTGGGAGCCAAACAGCAGAGCTTTCCTGTGGCAACGGCTGCTGCCGCAGGGGGGAGTGAGACGGTGGGACTAATAAACCAACCGTCGGCCAGTATGCGACATGCATCCGTGCCAGCCTCGGGGCGTCAGGCATCCCTGGCGCCACAAGAGCAAACACAGCCTGGATCATGGGACGACATAGTGCAAGTGCATCTGCCTCAGTCGAGTGATAAGACCTCGCAGCCCGCTGTTGCTGGCCAAGGAGCTATAACCTTTTCGCCTACACGGAGTGATGATACCTTCGGGCCCTTATCACCTGCTTCACAGGATTCCGCCCTTAGGTTTGACTCACCACCCGGTAGCGACCAGCAACAAGGCGATGCTCAGCAAGGGCGAATCCCAGATTGGCTAGATTATTCCGAGCTACGAGAGGGTGGTGCAAAACACTTAGTGCAAAAAGACTCACTGGAACGCCACCCTGAACTCAAGCTCCGTGACACACAAACTTTTCGAGACACATCCGGTTATGACCAAGAAGAACTCGCATTGATGAATATCCCCGACAAGAACGTCATTCCAACCTTCTTGGCTGTTGCGGCGGAAGAGATAGAACCCTTCGAACCAAAGTCCCTTCGACAGGCCAAGAATGATCCACGCTGGCTCGAATGGGAAAAGGGAATGATCGAAGAGATACAATCACTCAAACAAAACAAAACTTGGGAAATGGTTGACCCTCCCAGGGATCGCCGAATCCTGAGCGGGAAGTGGATTTTTAAACTCAAACGAGGATCAGGCGGAGAAATCGTCCGCCACAAGTGCAGATGGGTAGTCAGAGGTTTCACCCAGGAAGAAGGTGTCGATTATGATCAGACATTTGCTTCCGTAGTCAAACCAATGAGCTACAAAGCCTTGTTCGCAATTGCCGCAGCTCTGGATCTCGAGATCGAACAAATGGACGTCAAAACAGCGTTCTTATATGGCGAGATAGACCATGAGATCTTTGTTGAACAGCCTCATCACGCTACAGACGGCACATCGAGGGTCTGCAAGCTTCGCAAGGCACTCTACGGCCTGAAGCAAGCACCTCGTATCTGGTATCAGACGCTGACCAATTTCCTTCGAGATCTTGGCTTTGAGCCCATCAACGCCGATCTCAGTATCTTTGTTCGGAGCAGCATGTACATCGCAGTATACGTCGATGACCTCTTGATCATCGGACCAAGCATTGCAGAGATAAAGAAGATCAAGCGAAGCCTCAGAAACCGTTTTCATATGACAGACCTTGGCCCCTGCAGCTACTATCTCGGCATGACTATCCGACGAGATCGGCAGAACAGAATCCTCTATCTGAGCCAAGAGGCTTACGTGCGCAAAGTCCTTCAGCAATTCGGGATGCTGGATTGTGCTCCTGTCAGCACGCCCATCGACACCTCACCTCTACCAGAAAACGGCCCTGAATACATCTGCCCGTCGAATACAAAGAATGAGTACCAGCGCGTGGTCGGATCGCTGATGTATGTCATGCTTGGAACCAGAGGCGATATTGCATACGCTGTCTCAGCGGCAAGCAGACACTTGACAAATCCTGGCCCACAACATCTGAAGCTCGCGCGTCGAATCCTTCGATACCTCAAAGGCACCAAATCTCTCAGTCTCGCATATAAAGGCCAGCTCCAGATGCTCCGTGGCTTCACGGATGCAGATTGGGCCGGCTGTCGCCAGACAAGGCGCTCGACGGCAGGATATCTTTTCAACATTGGAAGTGGAGCAATCAGCTGGCAATCAAAGCGCCAGAATGTTGTTGCCCTGTCAACCTGCGAGGCCGAATTCATAGGCCAGACACAAGCAACCAAGGAAGCTATCTGGCTGAGAAGACTCCTTCACGAGCTGAATATGGGCCAGGGACAACGGGCAACGATCATTTGCGGCGACAACCAGGGAGCCATTGCGCTGGCCTCAAACCCTCAATATCATTCGCGCACAAAGCATATGGAAATCCAGCGAAAGTGGCAAGGAGAAGTCCAAGATGCCGGGACAGTGGAACTCAAGTATATCCCAACGTCAGAACAGATAGCGGATGGTTTCACGAAGCCCCTTGCACGAGACAGATTTGAATGGTTTCGAGAAGGCCTCGGCATTGAATAATAGCCCGGTCAGACACGAGCCTTCAAACTAAAAGAAAACAAAACAAAACAAAAGACCGGCATGCAAGCACCCTTTCCTTCCTTTTTTACCACTGGTTTTGGGAGGTTTTAATGGGGCTTGACAACCGTGATAAAAGATCGCTAATCTCCTTCGTCAGAAGGATATCAGCGAGTGGGAGTGTTGAAATATCACGGTTACTGGGATAATCATGGGGGCTGGGATCACGTGCATGCCTATATACCTGTTCACCAGTCTACCTGTATCTAACACAATCAACTCCCCTAAACAACATGAACACTGAAGCATCACTATAAATCAACATTGTCATTTGGGCAACCCAACCCAAGACCCAAATGGGTACCCTTGATAACCCAAAAAGGCAAAAAAAGCTGACTTATCACTTTACATTAAATTATGCAGTAATTTTCGATTACATAATGGTATCGATTGTGTTCTCCTGGTCTACGGCTGAGAAGATTTGGAACAAATATGATGGACGAAGAAAATAAGATTGGCTAACTATAAAGACTAGTATATCTCATAACCTCGCAGTCGGCTCGAGGGCATTGTCACCCGACCAGAAGATCTCTTCTGGCTTCTCTCACCCAACTGCGTGATTGGAGGCGGAAGTAAATCTGCTTCCTCGGATTCAACCACCTCTTCCTCCATACCCTCTTCCTCCATACCCTCTTCCTCTTGTTCCAGGTCGTAAGTCTGGCTGTCCATGGTGCTCCGACCAGTCTCTGCCAGCGTACACTCCGCTTGATATGGCTCCTCGAGCTCAAAATTACCCTCGAAGTCCTCGCTCTCTTCAATTTCTTCATCGTCGCTGATCGGCTCTGCATCCTCTTCAATTGCCTTCAGAGCTTCATCCTCTTCAAGTGCCTCTAGGCTGTCGCTCTCCAATGGTTTCTCCAGACGGGTCAGTTGCTGTCCCTCTAGTGTGAACTTTTCTGAGCACATATACATCATCAAGTCTTGAATAGTCGCTTCATGAAGAGATCCTCGACGGTAATGACAAATGTCTCGTGCACTATTGAAAAGCCTTTCTACGCCCGCGCCGGTGGCAGGGACCGAAAGCAAGTCTCGTGCAAGCCGAGAGAGCACCGGGAACTCGTATTCGTGTTCCTTCCAATAAAGCCGCGGTGATACCGGGACATTTGCTATCAGAAGTCAGTCAGTCGTTCTAGTACAGTATGCCAGTTGCTCGTACCTTCTCTAAGATACTGGTCCACTTCGTCATACTCTGCCCCTTCGTGGAGCATCGATGCATCAGGTGGTTCAAGTAGCCGATCAAGCTCTGAGCTATGTAAAGTGGAAGAGCGCTGCACCGTGCGGAATAACAGCTCGGGGTTCTGCTGCTGATACTGTGTGAAACATGCTCTCAAGTATTCACAGTACCGTTTCGACGTATCTTCGTGGCAGGTAGAGTACTCTCTATCATCGAAAGCACTCAATTTATATTGAGGAGCGAGTAATGTTCCAGTGCCATAGAGAAAACCGTGGTCGCGGTAAGTCTTTTCATAGTACTCTTTCAGCTTCTGCCTCGCAACAAGCAAAGCGCCATACATGTCCTTCTTCCAGGGTGTTGCCTTTCTTTTCAATTTCCGATTCGACCTTTCAATATGCTCCAGCAGCTTCCTGTACACGAGGAACACACTATGAATTGTGATGTCTCTGGTCTTCATCAGAGCCATGGTGAACTGAAAGAACGGTTTAGTCAAATGAACCAGGTAGTCAATTTGCCTCCATTCAGCATCAGTAACCTTGAACTGCGAGTATTCATGATCGCAGCAGTATTTGTCGATAACGTTTCTTAGCCGGCGCGCACGGCGAAGCATCAAAAACGTCGAATTCCAGCGTATTTGAACGTCATGCAACGGGAACAGCCGAGTTCCACCTGATTGGAGACACAGAAAGGCATCTCGCCGTTGTGGGCTTGCGTTGACAAAAACAGCAAATGATCGAATCTAGTTCTATCAGTGCTCCATTTATATTGACAGCCAATCAGAGAGAATCTATTCTCACTTTGGTTAGAGTATGAGCCACATCTCCATGGTTGACCGAATCTTTCAACCCATTCGCTTGGGTGTCAGACCAAAACGTCTTTATCTCTTTGTTCCGGGGTGCTGCTTTGATATGCCCCAAAAGTTGTTTCAGGCAAAGTTGAATCACATGAGCCATACAAGGAACTCGAACTATTGATTCTCTGGAGCCAATCGCGCCGGTGGAGATCAGTCTTTCCTGCAAGGCTCGTATGAGAGTTTCGTTATTGGTCGCGTTATCGGTAGTGATGCTAAAGATGCGATCCAGGAGTTTCCGTTCCTTCAGTAGTTGGTGCAAAACATCACTGAGGTTGCTCCCCGTGTGAGGGCCATGCAGCGGTTCAAATCCAAGAAGCATTTCTCGATAGTTCCAATCTTTATCAATGAAGTATACCGTGATTGCCATGAAGGCCTGCTGGAATGGACTGGTCCAACAATCCAAGGCAAGTGACACCTTAGCATCTTCAGGCAGATCTTGTAACTGTGACTCCTGTTGAGCTGTAACTGCATCTCGAAGTCGCCGTCGTAGGGTTTTCGCTGATGGAATTTCCAGTTCCCCCGGACCAGAGTGTAAGATGTTCAGCAGTCTTTGGAACACGGGGTTCTCCACAGTCTGAAATGGCAGCCGAAGGCAGGTGATGGTTTTCAGCAGCTGCTCCTCAAGTTCAGATGTTGTGACCCTGTCTGCGGCGAGTGATGCACTAGTGGAATGATTTTGCAACGAATCTGAGAGTAAAGTTTGATGGGATCCTCTCTTTTTCCCCCGGCGACAAGTATTGGACTTCAGGTGTCTGCTCATGGCGCTTGTACCATTTTTCTTGTGCTGCGGATGATCAAGCAAAGTAAGACAGGCTTGACAGATGACTCGTGGACGCCCAGTATCGATGTCAGCTACTTGGTCGAAGTGCTTCCAAACGTCGGCATGCCGCGATTCGGTGGACCATTTTATCTGAGACTGACCATCTCCGTTCAGCTTTTGACCGTACTCCGTTTTTTCCCACCACCCTAGGAACTCTCTCTCTAGACTCGATTCGAACAAAATCCAATTCTTTCTTCGTTGGGGCCCCACACGCCTCAGCGTTCCTGGGGGCCTTCGAGCGATTATATCGTAGCTACTGCGGGATCTAGTGAAAGGCTATAGGTCGTCTCAGCATACCTGTTGGTGGTCTCGCAATATTCAGGGGCAGGAGGGGCCATTCTCTTACAGAAGACTGAATGTCAGAGTCTAGGAAAGCGTCAGATGACGGCTCAATGGAAAGCAGAGGACTGAAAGCCTGATGCAATGATCGCGACGATGAGGAAGAAGAAGCCATATTCAAGAGGCGTGCTATCGGGCTTGGGAATAAATTTTCTCATTGTGAAAACTTGGAAATGGACTTTGTTGGGGGGTCGTGTCGTGCGTTTGGATCTATTAACTTTCGCTTCGCGTTAAACCCGCGGGTACCCAAAAACCCAACCCGACCCAACCCAGCCCAAAATGGACGTGACTTTGTATAGACGCTGAGAAAGTGTGTGTCGCCGATTTAATTTATTAATTTCCAAATAATCATTTCGAGGTGGCTCATAAAGCTCAAACTCATTGAATTCTCGTGAATTCATGGATGTGGCCCCTGATCGCTTGGGATGTAGAAGTGGTGGGATGAAGGAGGTGGTCCCTTTGCAGTAAATATATATTTCCATGCCGTCAGCGTACATTGTTTCGACGTAACACACACCTTAAGGCGTGACAGAAATAAATTACCAAAATTACACTAGGTGACTAATCGAGTTTATCCACGATTTATGCATATTTTTGGGTATTTTGGGCAACCCGTGGGTACCCGCCAAGAACCCACGGGCGGGTTCTGTTGAAATATCACGGTTACTGGGATAATCATGGGGGCTGGGATCACGTGCATGCCTATATACCTGTTCACCAGTCTACCTGTATCTAACACAATCAACTCCCCTAAACAACATGAACACTGAAGCATCACTATAAATCAACAGGTTCACCAAGGTCAAAACCCGCGATGGGTTACCCGTGGGCGGGTAAAGAAATTGAAAACCCAACCCAAACCCACGTTTGGCGAGGTCTAGTTGGATCCCAGGTCAGGTCACGTGACATATAGATATTATCATATTGGAGTGGCAGCCTATCAGGCTGCCACTACCACTCTAGGCAGAAGGTAGCTACTGTGACTACAAATAGCTGCGCTTACTCGCATAGCTAGAGAATGATTAACACACTGGTACCTCAATTCAGGGTCTCAACTTTTGCGAGGGGTCAGGGTAAATGAATTCATCCATCCATCCATCCATACTGTATTCCAGCTGCACTGCTTATCTCACCTTCAACTCACCTTCTGGTCAATTTCTGAGACCAGCTAGAATATCATCGTAAATCCCTCGAGCTAAACTGTAAGTAAAGGAAAAGGGAGCATCAAATCCGAAACATTTGGTATCCATGGTATCCTGAAAAAAGCATTTCTCCTTTTCCCACATATTTGCACGAAAAATGAACTACGCTGACACCGACTGAAGCTTCAAGTCAAGTGTACCTTCAGTATCTTTCGCCCACTTAGTAGCCTTTGCATTCGCATAGATATTTATAGGGAAACCTATCACAATAGGGAAAAACCTATATCAAGGCGTAACTTGTTAAAGGGGTTCACCGGACTTGAAAACCACTCGAAGCTTCATGAAAATCAAATAACTTTTCCGATACGGTGATCCTGAGAAACAATCCCAAAAGCCATAGAGAAACTCTCACACGAGAGAAGTTATAAGTATCTTCTTCATTACAGCATCAGGTTTCCTGTATAGGATTAGCGATGGACCGGGAGGGATACCCAGGTGTATATGTGTATCTTTTATCATCCAATACGGATGAAAAATGTTCAAAGTAGGGAATTAATTGCGGTTGGAGGTTACCACATACTCTCTGATCATCCTGTGCCTGGCTGTCCTGTGCCTGGCTGTCCTGTGCCTGGCTGTCCTGTGCCTGGCTGTCCTGTGCCTGGCTGTCCTGTGCCTGGCTGTCCTGTGCCTGGCTGTCCTGTGCCTGGCTGTCCTGTGCCTGGCTATCCTGTGCCTGGCTGTCCTGTGCCAGTCTGTTCTCTAACTGGTCACATTGCGCTTGTCAGTACCATGCCGAGAGATTTTCGGATTCCCAAGACATTCGCCACTTACTATCTGCCCATCCACAGCCATCAGCCTCGGTTTCATGTAGTAACGCAGTCTATTCCGGATCATCACTTACAACCTGCCCATCCACACCCATCAGCCTCACTGTCCTATAGTAACGCAGTCCATTCCAGGGTCATCACTTACCGTCTATGCATCCGCTCCCATCAGCCTCACTGTCCTATAGTAATCCAGAGTCATCACTTACCCTCTGCCCATCCATCACGATCAGCCTCACTGTCCCATAGTAACGCAGTCAATTCCAGGGTCATCACTTACTGTCTATGCATCCATCCTTATCAGCCCTGTTTTATGTAAGAACACAGTCCATTCCGGGGTCATCACTTACCCTCTGCCCATCCATCGCCATCAGCCTCACTGTCCCATAGTAACGCAGTCCATTCGAGGGTCATCACTTACAAGCTACCCATCCACACCCATCAGCCTCACTGTCCTGTAGTAACGCAGTCCATTTCAGGGTCATCACTTACCATCTATGCATCCACTCCCATCAGCCTCACTGTCCCATAGTAACGCAGTCCATTCGAGAGTCATCACTTACCTTCTGCCCATCCATCACCATCAGCCTTGGTTTCATGTAGTAACGTAGTCCATTCCGGGGTCATTACTTACCTTCTGCAAATCCATCACCATCAGCCTTGGTTTCATATAGTAACTCAGTCCATTCTAGTGTCATAACTTACTGGCTATGCATCCACCCTTATCAGCCTCGCTGTCACATAGTAACTCAGTCCATTCTAGGGTCATAACTTACTGGCTATGCATCCACTCCCATCAGCCTCACTGTCCCATAGTAATACAGTCCATTCCAGGGTTATCACTTACTCCCTATGCATCCATCCCCATCAGCTTTGGTTTCATATAGTAACGCAGTCCATTCCAGGGTCATCACTTACATCCTGCCCATCCAATCTATCTCAGTCCAATCTTCCAATGTATAGCTGTGGCCTCATAACTTGGCAAAGCCTCTAAAGCCAACTCACCATCTATTCATTCCACACATTAGATTGGGTCTAGAATAAACAACCCGCATCGTTCGTGATCTTCCCAAGTTATCGCTTACTGTGTAATAACTCCGCAGCTAGGGCCATTATTAGTCTGTTATCCATATGACAATACTGGGCACCTCGCCAAGCAGTCCTAGATCAAAGTCAATCGGTTCTCACCAATATTTTGTTCAGATAAAGGCTTAATAGAAAGTAGAATTCGAAGTTGTATGCTGCAGTATTGAATAATTGGTTTATCCAACCCCGCCCTTCAGGCTATGTACTATTCTCTCTGCCCTAAGCCCTAACTTCCGTAATAGTAATTGTGTGGAACGTAGTCATGACTTGGTCAGCAGCGGCGGTGAATAACGTAATCGGTAAGCGAGCGCCGCATGTAAACGAGCGCCGCACCCCAAAACACCATATTAAATGCGATAAATTACCACTTGATATCCTGCCAACCACTGTTTATCGTAGGGTGTTCCTATGGTCTAATATTCTTTGTGATATATCTAGCCTGTCTTTCAAGTCCCTAAGAAATTTAGAAGTTGATGATTCAAAAATATATAACCGCAGTGTACATCGCTCTGAATTATTGTATTTTACTGTATCAGGATACAATAATTATCTCATTTGCCCTATATTTTACTGTACGGTTTATTATATTCTTAGTAATTAGTAAACCAAAAATAAAAGCGAGAGAGCTTGTCGTTGTCGAGATATTCGACTTTAAAATATCGCATTTAATATGGTGTTTTGGTTACCTCAGTACCCTCAGACCTTATCACATGATCAAAAATTCTGCCGGATTTTTGGCGCACTAAACCTAATCGGGTAGCACGCTGATCTAAGGTCTGAGCACTGAAATTGCACTTTGCGTGCATTTTTCGATAGCTCCATACCAACTTGACCATTTTAACCAGGTAAGTCTTCGTATGATTGATATTGGCATATATAATGATTAATATTAATATTCTGTCATTAGTTTTCTAATTACTGGCTGTCATGTCTCGAAAACGCGTGTGCGAGTCACCCCCTAAGGCCCCTACGGCGACGCGTTCCCGACAGCCACCCAGGGAGGTATTCAACGAGCAGACCTATATTCCTGGATTGTCAGAACGGCAAAGAGTCGATATGATACTTAAGCATATGCATGAACAGCATCGTTGGACTCTCAAATCCTTCATATATCACCTAGTGATGGCACAGCCGGAAGAGAAAAATGCCCGGTCGGCCGCTTACCGGACACAGAAGCTATCTGAGGCAATATACGAACAGAAGGAAGTGGTCACTGAGTTGCACAAAATTCCTGAGACTGAAACCACTGAGTCCGTGAGAACGTCACAGCTGGTCGCTCACATTCGGTCCGAACTGTCTCAATTTGGCAATCCCGCCATCGGGCTCGCTCAATTTGATACAGAAGAGTCGGTGGATCAATTGGATATACCTGGGATTGCTTCACGTGTACAAGTTGCTGCTCCTCGTCTGTGGGCATTACTTGTCAGTATTATGGCACAGCAGCATCCTAGCGCTCGCGATACATCCAAGGATTTTCAAGGCAGCGTATTCATGATCTGTGTCATCTTGGCATCGGCCTTTGCTCCTCGAACGTGCAACAAGTTTCCAGTGTTGCTCGGCCTGCATTTACATTCCATGGGGGTGAAACGCCGTACTATTAATCTCCTCTATGGCTTGGGCGTTATTGCAAACTATATGACCATTATGCGCCGCCGTGACGAACTTGTCAATTTAGGAAAGGTTGCACAATAAACCTACCCTGTGTCGTTACGAAATCACCCTTGATTGCTAATAGGAGTACAGGGGCAACTCAAGGAAGCTGCCCAGTCTTCTCATGGCAATTTTATCATATGTTGGGACAATTTCGACTACAATCAAAACGTCCGGCATCAAACCCTTCGGGAGCAGTCTCGACATATTTCTGCTACCACTGGCAAGCTCTGCATTGGTCAGTCCATTCCAGCCGGAGGGTTACGGAGATCAATGCTCCATCCAGATATCCCACTCAGTCGTCATGGGATTTATGATGCCCCAGGCCCAGATGATCAAGATGGTGTCATTCGACAATGTCAAATTCATTTTATCGCAGAGGCAATTCGTGAAACCCATCGGGAGGCAGTGGAGGCACTTTTCATGGATCAGCCGCCTAAGCAAACTGGATCAATGAAACCTCGAATTCAACTAGTTGATTGGCCAGAGTTCCCAGCAGTTGAGCGTCTTCTCCCTCGCAAAACTCCCAATTATGGTCTTGGTCCTATTACGGAGAATGAAGGAACCATTGACGGCACATATGCAGTCATTCGCAACATCTTTGTTGATCAACTTGGGTACAATCCAGACACAGATTTTGATGGATCATTGCGACTCGTATATGGGGATCAAAAGACAGTCTCTTTGATTCAGGTTGTCAAGAAGGAGCAGGCGGAAGCCACATTGCCGTATGATAGATGCAATTGGCTGCTTCCTATCCCTGGTCTCTTCCACTGGCGAACCAACTACATGGACATGATCCATGAGCTCTACTCTGGCACGGAGGCAGCCGCAGATGAAACAACTCTACACCACAACAAGAATTTTCTAGGCTGTGTGCAGGGCCACAAAAGTCCATTTCACCACAAGGAGGAAGTGGCTACACGTGCTTTTGACGCCCGTGTGACTGCTAAATTCTACCTGCTGCTGAGATCTTTTGCAAATGAGAAGGATAAAGATATTCAACTATCAACTGACGAGGAGATTAATCATTACATCAAAAATATGACACGCGCGTCCTTTCACCGCATCATCGAGAATATCCGAGACGAGTTGTTTACTATGGCGGAGCAGCAGTCTGAAAATATGGCAAAACTGTTCCCAGATCGTCCAATCGACTTCCCATTCTCCACGCATGCGAAAGTTCTTCAACAGATCGCCATCTACAAGATAATGAAGAAGGCCATCAAATATGCTGACATTGGGATCCTTCGGCGTATATTTGCGCTGTGCTGTTTCCTTTTCCACGGCTCAAAGAAGTCTAAATATGCCTTTCTCTCCTTGTACATGACATGGCTCACACAGACTCCGGCTGCAAGCCCAGAGCTCCAAAAGGCTATATTGGCTAATGGGCTGGTCAACATTCGCGGCGCAGAGGATTCCTGGTTCGAGATAGACCGACTGAATGAGTTTTTCAACCTCCAGATGAAGTCCCTGATGACCACACGACGTACCTCTACCGTCGAAGTCACGCCCATGTTCCAACGAATGGCATTGACAGCCAGTTATTGTACAGAATTGAAGGCGAAGTTGGAGGCAGAATTTGGCGAGTATAGCAATGGAAGGCACCAGATTAAGGACGCCAGCATGGATGTCCGCAATCTTGCACATGAGATTGCTCAATCGGATTCTATCCAGAAGCATCTAAATGGTCGAGATTCTTGGTTTAAACCTCCGGATATCTTGTCTCGAGGATCTAGTGAAGCATTAGCTAAAGGGGTTGAGAAATTCAATCAACAGCGGCTTCATGGAGGGTGCCAGGGAGGAGAGGAGCCGAGCCACCTTACTTCAACACCTATTGCTGCTCTTGATAAATTTGTGACTATAGCAGATGATGAAGATGAAATCTGACATCTCACTTCTTGTTCACACCTTCCGGGCATCTTCGTGGACGCCTATTTCCTGATACCCCACTTAAGGCTCTGCGTTTGCGAACTGGAGTTGCCGAAGCAGGTGTCGAATCCATATAATCTTGGGACGGTATATCAGTATCAATCCACGGAGGCACAAAGATATTGTCAGAAGGTGTCGGTTGTCTGATACTGTCTGGCGTAGGTGCAGAAGACCATGTGAGATTACTGTATTCGCTGAATTGGCTAGGGTCGTCCAATATGCGCATCGTCTTTGCTGGTGTTTGCATTTTGACTGTTAACACTGCGTGGTGAACATATCTGTCCCAAGAATACGAAATTCTTAACCATGTATACTGACCAAGTTGTTCTGCAGGTGTTTGAGAACTACTCTCATGAGTGCAGTATGCCTTCCGCAGTTCTTCAAAGAGACTTTGATCGAACCGACCGCACCAGTGCCATAATCCTAGTCTGTCGAAGAGATCGTCTTTCGTCAATGTCTGATGGGCATACCGTGCCAGTTCAACTCGTTGGTCTTTGGTTAGGATATTGCAGGCATCTAGTATGAGCCCATCCTTGCGCAGAACTTCATGAGATTTACACCAGGCCCACTTCTCCAGGTCATCTGCAATCAGCTTTCGCTTTTTGGTGTAAGAAGGCCCTTTCTCACTGTATAGATAATACTGATCAAGGTCCTCTATAGTAAAGTCTGGGTTGCAATAGCTGCAACAGCGCTCCTTCCGAGTTGGGTTATCACCGTCCTTGGATTCCTCAAAGAAATCCAAGAATTCTTGCCGTATACAAGTGCTAGCATTGATGAGATTATACCAAAATGCTGGTAGTCTCTCCCGGCGTTCCTTGTCAGATGAACAGATTGCTGACTGTTCCTGCTCGGGAGTTTCTTCATCATGCAACTCCTCTGCAGAGCCTCTATTGAGCTCTTCAGTAACACCCATGGCACAAGTCTCCTGTCTTAATCCTTGGGCCTTGGACTGGCGTGCATACCTTTGAGCAGCGGCTTCATCACGGGGGCCAAATGCCCATTCGTCCACTAGCAAGATGGTTTCCCCATCCTGCCCATCTCGACTTCCTCGACCACCGCGCTGCCAAGGAACTGCTGGGTGGTGTCCCCGAGGGATCCCATATAGGACAACGCGTCGAATATCGGGAAGATTTACCCCTATCCCCAATGCTTCCGTCGCAAAGATAACCCGGACTGATGACTCCAAGGCCAAATGCCGAAATTCTGCAACAATTCTCTCCTTGTCATGCTGTGGCGTGTTGCGATGAAAGACCCGAATAGTAGACTGAGCCTGCTGAGATGTATACTGGTGCTTGTCACTCATTTCTAGCCATTCACGACATTTCATCAGTGCCGAAGATGTTTCATCTTTAGTGTCGAAGAACACAACAGTCTTGGGGATGTTTAAATGCGCAGTGTCGCGAGCAGCATGCAGAACCTCTCCTTGCTTGAATAGGAAACGTAAGGCGGAATATGCTCGACGTTTGTTCCTTGGTATCTTGCCCAAACGGAGAACCAGCTCTGGTCGGTTGATGGAGGTTCGCTGAACTTTGACATCTGATAAGAAACCACACCCATGCTTCACAGTCTCCAAAGTGGCTTGGTCCAACGTTGCTGAGCATGAAAACCAAGGAACTTTCCTTCCTAGCAATGCACGCAATTGATGCATTCGTGCATATTCTGTCCGGAAAGCACGACCCCAATGCGCAACCAAATGTGCCTCATCAACTGCAACAAGACGAAGGCGTTCACGGAACCGTGGATGGGTAGCCACAGCGTGAAATTTATCCCCAATTGCAAGTTCGGGACTAAGCAGAACATGGGTATATTTAGCTGCCTTTACTGCTTCGAGCAGCTCTGCAGATATGGTATCGACATTGAGGAAACAGGGTCTGCCTCCAAGATTTCTGATATACTCTGTTTGCTCAATACCAATCTGGTTCAGTGGGAGCACAATGAGTGTGATTGCCTTCTCAAGGAGAAGGGATACTGCTTGTAAGAGCATGCTCTTACCGAATGATGTCTTGGCTATAAGAATCATGTCTTTGCGGAGAAAAACAAGGTGGCGGAGTGCCTCTCGCTGACCATCCCATGGAGAAAATGTATAGATTCCTTCAATGGCCGCAATGATGGCAGCGTTCTGTTCCTTCTCCCCCTTCTCTTCGGCTTCTCGGATGATCTTTTGTGCCTTTACCACTGATGCTGAGTGATGTGTTGTATTGCCTGAATTCAACCATTTGTCCAACGATGCCTGCTCATGGCATGGTCCTGCAGTGCTAGAAGGGGACTTGCGACAGGCCCGTGCTTGGAAGGAAGGAGGCTTTCGTGCTTTTGGACGAGCCATTGGTGTATTCCTCCAATTTCCACTTAATTAGTGGTCAAAGCCAAGTATTAGCATGATTAGGACTAGAAAACTGTGCGATAAGGTGTTGTTTTGTCTGCTGGGAAAAAGGAGTAGTATGCGTTGGGTACAATTATTGTACCTTTAATTTTGGAAATTTGGAACAATTCCACCACGAGAAGATAGAGGGCCTCAATATCTAGAGGACATCGTCGCCCAATTTTTGATAACTGTATTTGCTGTCGAGAAAATGTAGAATAACCGATTTTCGTCGCGCAAAAATTCCGAAGTAATTTTGGTGGGGAAACCATAGAAAATATCGAGCTAGTGCTACAAGCGACAAATTCTGTGCTCAGACGGCCCCAAAAAAAGGCTGAGTCAGCTTGTCTAACCTATAATCAGCAGGCGGTAGATTGCAAAAGTTACCGCTTTTCGGGGCCGGCTGAGGTAACTGAGGTAAGGCGGGGTGGGAGGGAGTCTGCTATGGTAACTGTCTTCTGTTGTAATTCAAAGGAAGATTGCTTGTTTTTCTTCTGGACAGAAAACTTGAGGGTTTATATACACAGGCGACCTCCAGATTGATTTCCAATCAAAGCTGGTAATTCCGTGGGGTTAGGAATTGATTCCGTTACGATACGACATATCACAACATCTTCAAGCAAAAATCTCGCTCTATACAGGCCCACTCTAGGGACCCGGAGGGTAATCATTCTTATTTTCTTGAAATTACGGCTCCTGGATTCCCATGCCTAGGAATATCTCTCTTCGATTTGGGCAATCCCTCAGCGGATGGTTGAGAACAAAGCGAGCCACTCCCACAGGCGATGGTTCGCATGAGCCAACAGTACTCCTCCTTAGGCTGCGGAGGTACTTGACAAGGCCCCACTGCGGCGCTAAGCTGATTGCTGGACTGGTACCCCACCACACGGCTACAGTCCTCTCTGGGAACCCCCACCACAATCCAAAAATCTCAACGGCCCTGTGCCCGCATGCGAGATGATCGCTAGTGACATAAACTCGAGCTCTTCTACCAACTGTTCACTTCCTGGGATATGTGTAGGTAGATCAAGCGTTTTTCGGAGAAGCTCCAGTGCGTCAGAGCTTTCAATCTGGTTGACTTGACGAGATCTTCATGATTCTACCATCTTGAGTGCTACCTCTTTGCTCCGACTCAGGTCGATAGAGGGCTAGTTCATGACAGTCGTCGAATAGAGACGGAGGTACGGAAGCTAGAGATCCTGTGGATTGTGGAATGGAGCAGTATCGTTGAACTAGAGCTTATTCCCGATCTCGAAGGGCACGGCGCCTCCCTGACGGCTAATCACGTCCCAGGAAGCTTTCAGCGGTCCAAACAGAAGTCGTGGATCGGGGACTGCATTCAGCGTTTGTTTGGACTCGGTCGACAGCTGAACTTTGGCTTCAATTCTGGAGGGGTGCAAGCCTCGGCGAGTTCGGACAGCACAGGCACAGCTCAGCAGCAATTGGGGTTGGATGAGATGGGAGGATTCGATGTACGAGCTTGAGGCGTCCCAACGCGTCCCGATACTAACGACTCGCGGATTTTGCAAATGAGGATCTACTGTCCTGATGCTCCCAGGAGGCCCAGGAGTGATTTCCCCAACCAAGGCACATTCAGTCGCTGTTTGAATTCATGGCTTCTAGTTACTGAGGATTGCCAGGATCGCGCGATGGGTGCCGCCTAACATCACAAACGGCAAATCGGCGGCGACAGGCCTTATCAGGTGAAGCTCAAGTTTTACCGCTCAGGAAGTTTGGTACAATCTCCGTGGAACATAAAAGCATGTATTTAAGCAATAGTTGTAGCCTGTATATCGCCGTTGAGGCGAGGCGTCAGGGTAAATGAATCATCATCATCATCATGCGGTAAGGGGATCACTATGTGGAAAGATTCCAACACTGAGTGTCAGGATGTCGGATACGTGTATCATCTAGTATCGAGGGACGGCCAATTGATGCATGAGATGGATTAACGAGAGTGTGTCTGTGTGTTCCGATCTGTTGAAAATGATCCAGGGGCTATAAACTGCGTATTACATCACAGTTCTTCCGAGAATGACCCGAATTACCATACAATTACTATTGCAATGTGGGTGGATGCTGAATAACCAAGAGCAGTGGAGAATCCACAGTATTTTACCTCTCTCAGAGTTGACATTATCAAGGGAAAGTGGTCAAGGTAAATATATTACTGTTTACATTCCTCCCAATCTGTGGCTTCAATGAACTACACATTTGCAAGTACAGTGCTCAACTTTTCGCATGCCCCAGCCAGCTGATCCCGATATTCTCCTGACGGAACTCCTTGACGAATTGCAGAAGCGTCCGACTCCTCAGGTGGACGCTTGAGATTCTCTATCGTTAACTCGTCATTCAAAGCGTGAACAATATCGTCCAACCTGTCCTTTGGAAACTTTCGAGGTGGTGTAACTTGGGTTGGCTCAAGGTCGTCTTTGGTCTGCGTCGAGAAGATCTTTTGCCAGCCTCTGAATTGGATAGAGATACTCGTATTTATCAGAAATGGCTCACCGCCATGCTTAAGGGCAAGTCCCAAATTCCAGATTGCTCTGTGATCAATCTGTTCTGTAATTTTCGCTTCCGCTATTCTCCAGGCAATGCGCCTGTAAAGTCTGTCTTCGTCGTCTGGAATTCGTTCACCATGTACTTGCCATCGGTACATATAGGTCTGGCTGGTTGCCCTCTCGAATTCGCCGAGCTTGGCTGACATACCGCCGCCCCCGCCCTCTGGTGCTGCTTTCGCCCTTTTCTGAACGTCCTTGTATACGGGTCTGCCGAACCCAATTACGGGTCCATAGTGCTTTGTAACGTCGAGGCAGGAGGTATTCAGCTTCGTAGTGCCTCTAAAACGAAGCTCCAGCTTCGCCTCTTGGACTTCGATGTCGTTGGGCTGGCTGATTTGGAGCTCCGCAAGGAGGATCCATGCCGGGGTATTCCCCAACATGCCCCATCTCGATGATGATAAATAGCGGCAGTCGATTGTCACATTGTGAGCCTCTCTGTAACCGAGGGATTGATCCCGATTCTGATTAAGAACATGGTAGTAATCGGGGTATCTCCCAACCATATTGTGTAGTCAAGTGTTGCTATACAACTGATCAGACAAAGCTCAAGGAAGATGAGAGGAAGATTAGACAAAGAACAACGCAATAATACCAAGTATAGGTAGGAATGTGGTGATGTAAGTGGATAATTGGCTGGTCATAGATGGCGGCGTGGCAAATAATGATTTTACTGTTATCATGCCACCAACCATATTATCTGGAAGAAACCCATACAAACGTAGAACTCGAGAATACCATGGCTTTGATTGCGCAGACCACATAGAATTCAGGCTAGGCAAAGGTCTCAGGTCCGGTTGCGGAATACATCGTAGTTACATATCTGAGTGCTGACATCATCACTCGAGCTCACATGCGCAATCGGAAAACTCCCCATTTGCAGTGGTTTCCACCGGAGGTGGGATGACCTAGGAGCTTCTTTGAGCAGCTAGTAACAGGGACCTTGGACTCGTCAATTCACATAATACTGATGATGTTCAGCACCCGACCAACTTCGTCACATTCTGTGCAAGACTCTTGTCAAATCGAAACCTATAGCCATATACCTAGTTACAACATATGTGCTGGGGATCGCCCTCTTGGTTTGCAATTAGCTGCGCTCCTTTCTAGAATCACGGGAAAAAGAAGACTTCACCACTCATTCAGATGAACACGACACAGAAGGATTACCAAGCTTCTGATTCACAATGTACGTTTACCATACAGTCTACGATGGGCGAAACCAATACCATCCATTTGAAGGTGGAGGAAGACGTCCCTGCGGAGCTTGAAGCCTTTGTCCGTCTATCACACTTTGCACTTTTCGACCAGGCCAGAGAGTGGTTTGACGGGTGCCTCCGTGATCATTTGGCTGAGTTCCCTGTCGCACTTGAGTATGCGGATATGCTCCTACGGCAAGGTTCATACCGGGAGGTCGAGGTCCTCGATCTTCACAGTCCGGACACTGCAGGTCTTCCAGAGCACAATGACATAGACCGACTTTGGGGGCTGCTTGAACAGCTTGCCATCATGCATTTGCAAGGACCGACATCCGATGCCTTGGAAGACGCCATGGCATGCTTCGACTACCTACGTTACAGACGGGTAGGTGGGGATGCACGCCCGAGCGCTCTCGTGATACATATGCTGGAGGTGTACCTACAGATTGTTGTGGGTGCTCACGGGACCTCCATGTGGCCTGAGGGGAAAGAGCTATATACAAATCCTCCTTGGTGTCAGTCCGATTTACCGGCATGGAGGGGCTTTGGCGCGTGGTACGCTGACTTGAGGGAGTGTAACCATTTTTGGGAAGCACAGAGAATCTTGACTATCCTTCTGCCTGTCCTCCCATTTAAGGACGCGATCGATATGTTTATGAAGCCGGATCAGTTTGGGCTCGTGGTGGAGAACATCGACCAAGGATCCTTTGATGAAACTCTAGTTTTATCAGACTTGATGTCTGCCAACAACATCTGCAACTACGTTCTGGAGTATTCTGAAGGGCTCCTATCCCATGAACTCCCGCGAGAGCATCTATTCGAGCTTGCTGGAGCTTACTTGGAAAGTTCTCGGTCTTTGGCTGTTATCTTATCTTGCTTGAGCAAGACAGACAAGAATGAGGAGCTTCCGCCTGTCTTACAGGTTGAGATGTTGGAGAAAAGGCTCGGGCAACTCAAAGAAGGGCCACTATCAACTCAAATTCATTCCGACGAACTTCAGCCAAGGATGCCTACTTTTACCAAGGCAAGTAAGATCACTGCTGCGACCTCTCAGGTCGACTATACCCAGGGGACGCATGAGTCTAGGGCTCCAGAACCTTTGAGAACTCTTCATCCCGATCAAGCCAATCCCGCCTGGCTTCATGCTCTGCAACAATCCTTAGCCAGCCCCACTGCTGCCGCTCCTACGCGGTACACGTGTGCATCAGAAAACGTCATTCCCGGTAACCTCGGACATACCGGACCTATTGCTCTTCAAGTTGGCCTCGCACCCGTTATACCACGGTGGGCGAGGTCTCAAACGGTCAATTTTGCCGCACTAGCGAACGGGTATCCACGTTCGGAACTCGCTCTCCTCGCTGCAAACGCCCTACGAGACGCTGCAGAGGAGTGGAACCAGCTTGACCTAGGCGTAAAGTTCCAATGGGTGGAGAAGATACAGGATGCCTCATTCATCCTTTGCTATGGAGGAGACCGGGGTGAGGCACTCGCGCAGGCCTTCTTTCCCACTGAAAAGCAGCTGAGCACTCTTGACGTTTACTCGGCTTCATTCCGACCCGGCACAGTGCAGTATCTGAAAAATATATTCTTGCATGAGCTCGGCCACGTCTTGGGATTCAGACACGCTTTCGCGCCGAACTTTGATGTGGACGAAGAGACCATCGAGTTCGGACCGAGAAGTCCGACTTCGGTCATGGGCTATGAGTTCCCGCCACAGATCCAGGCTACTGACAGGGAAAGCGCGGTGGCCTTCTATAGTTTTCCTGGACCCTCCCTACGCGTGAAGGACAGCCAGGTGTCAATTAGGGATTATAGCGCAAGATAAGTGGACCCGTTCAGCGTAGAAAAGTTTTTATTCGTCTTGTTCTCACCTTGAGTTTATAATACTTATGTAAAGAATGTAACTTAATCTTAACCCATCTTTTTGCTCCTTAGTCGGAAGCAAGTGCCTTTATATACGATAGTCAGAACATCATCATTCACCTTACGCATAGACAGCACGTCAACGCTTTCTCGGACAGATATAATAGTGTGAGTAATTAAGACGACCGGCTCGTTTACAACGAGCATCTCAGCTAATAAAGTCAGGCGGTATGGGTGAAGCCAAAGTCGTAAATTCTACTGGACCTCCTTCTCTGAGATTAGGATCTTATTTATCTTGGGGTGTTCTGTGCTTGGATAGTGACCCGGACGCGGATGAATACTATGGCCCGACGGGACAATTTCAGATCCCGTGCCAAGTTGTCTGTCGATCTGATAGCGGCCAAATACCGCTAGTACGTTTCAGGATATGATTATTCAGCGTGTACGCGATCCACCCCCTATTTGTATGGTAAACACAAGGGATTTTAACTCTTTGTCAGGATGTCGGATACGTGTATCATCTAGTATCGAGGGACGGCCAATTGATGCATGAGATGGATTAACGAGAGTGTGTCTGTGTGTTCCGATCTGTTGAAAAATGATCCAGGGGCTATAAACTGCGTATTACATCACAGTTCTTCCGAGAATGACCCGAATTACCATACAATTACTATTGCAATGTGGGTGGATGCTGAATAACCAAGAGCAGTGGAGAATCCACAGTATTTTACCTCTCTCAGAGTTGACTTATTGTAGTGGGGAGACCCCCTCCCCCTACTACATGGGTGCCATCCAGACTATGTGACATAGCCGGCAGTATACAGTGGCCGGATAGCTAGTTCTAGAATACACCTTCTTACACCTCCCCGAGCTGACCCCTACATTTGGGCTTCTCGCTGTTTCCTGACGCTACGCGTGTGTTTTGTGGTGGTTTTTCTGTTGAATCGACCCGCACGTCTCAGCGCGTGCAGCCATCGAGCGTTCCCCTCTTCAATATCTAGCTCCTACTCCGAGAGTGACTTCTGCAAGTCGACACTGGAGTCACGTATATTTCTCTTAAGAGATTAATAATTAGTGAATCCGATCAGGTGTGGCCTGAGAATTGTCAGGAATTAAGGTATAGCCTCATGCACCTGGCAAACTTGGGTATGATATAGGTACCTGCGTGTGAATATATATATTACTGCCTCCTGTTTACGCCTAGCACAACAGACAGAACCCCGGTCAGTATAGGGAATGGCACGTGACTAGTCTGGGTTTTCGTCCGAGTTTCTATTGGCTGAGAGTATTTCATCTTTCCTGCCACCAATTTTCAATAATATGTAAAAAGAGAAATGGCTTTAGAGTCTGGCGGATGCGGGCTTTCTAATCATAGTAAAATAATCTCCATCCGTGCGTTGTGGTGTTGTGGTCACCTGCCACAATTTGCCTGTTGGAATCCGTTTTCGAAACCCCTTGTACAGCTTTATATGTGACCGTAGGCTTCTACAGTATCCAGTTTCGTAGCGGATAATCTGAAAACTGCTTATGGTGTTTGCCACGTTCTCATCTAGCTGATAGGAAAAGGTTAGTTAACCTAGGGTAGAGGAGGGGAATTAATTAACCCGGCTATAGCTGGTTTGTGGCAAGATAGAGTGACCTAGAGCTTCAGGAGCCTAGCCAGGAATACGTAAGGCCCAACATGACACCTTGTTTGACGATCCTTGCCCAAAAAGTCCGTATACTCAATCAAATTGCTAGTGAAAAGGGTTTCGGCAGAATATTACGTACATCGGCTTGAGAGTCATGATTAGGGGAATGGAGAGGCTTCCTGATGCTTCAATTTCCTGAGTCCTCTCCTTCTTCGGTGATATTAGAGAAACTGTAGAGCACCTTGGTACAATTTCATGGCTTCAACTTTTGTCTCAACAGATAAGAGGCTTCGACTTTTTTCTCAACATAAATCTTATCTGTCAGGTGGTAGTAGTACAAGCCAGGTCGCTTGATGTACAAATTTTTGTAACGCTCTTGAATGTGATGGGCTTGGGTAGGTTCGAACCGGTAATCGAAACATCAACAAATGAAACGGGACCCACGATCCGCGCCTCCTGGTTCCCAGTGCATTGGAGAGTAGCCGAAACTGCGTCCGACAGAATGCAAATAGGGACGCAACCAGTGTCTGTGGGAGAAATAGTTGCATCGATATCCACCATACCCGATTTCTTCTTGGGTACGCCTTGAACCGGGTTACCCGATTGGGTGAAGCATTGTTGATTACTGAGTGCAGTAGCAGAACCAGCAAAAGTAGCGGTTTCTCCAGCACCGCAATATTGACCAGTGATCAAAAGTTGGTTTGTGTCGGCATCGACACATGCCGATGGTCGCTTGACGGTGGCAGCCAGCGCAAGACCGCTGCTAGTGAGGTAAGAAAGAAGCGTAGAAACTTTCATAGTTTCAATGATCGAAGGAGTAGTGTCTCTCAAATTAAGTGACGGATGTGTAAAAATTGGGAATATGATTATATTAGGACAGTGCCTACTGGAAAGTTCTAGGGTAAGCTACAGCACCTTATATATCCAACATTGTTCTAGTCTCGCTATATGAGGTCAACTGGTGGCCAGGCCCAGCCCACCAAATACGGCGGCACTTGAAATGGGTCTAGCACTGTCTAGGCGTTGTCTAGCCGCTGTCTGGACGTTGTCTTGACGTGCTCTAGATGTGCTATAATAAGATGAGCACGCCTTCATAGGAGTACGACAAAACCCTTTGCTACCAAATTTTACTAACGTAGGGGTCCGCCACCAAACTCAATATCAGCCACCCAAAAGACATCGCAATTTTTGCATACTCAACAGGTTTTTTACCACCAGGACCACCAATTCCACGTGATATAGTATGGCGCTTGGGGTAGCCAGGTTGGCCGCGGATTACATTAGTAGTTTTTCGCAAAGTCAACCCTCTTCTTCACCCATCACCTTAACGGGAGCAAAGAAAGGCTCTGGTTCTAGACCCTTTTGTTGTATTTATACAAAAACGTAACCAAACATGTAAGTTACTTAAAATCCTTTTAGGTTTAGCGTATCATGTGATTAAGGTTTTAAAGTTTATCTCTGTTACTGGCATGAATGGCAATAACGGTCGCCACTTTAGGAGCCGGCCTTATAATTCGCTCCTCATATACTAACCTTTCGGCTAAGATTTCATTTCACTGATCAAAACATCACCAGCAATACATCGCTGATTAAAATGCAAGGCACACTTGGTCCTAATCTTTGTCTCTGTAGCTTGGCGTGACTGCGTGTTCATTTGCATATGCAGATATACATCGGGAAGTCGCTTAACAAGCAGATCTTGCATGGTCGAATCAGGTGGAAACGACAATGGTGAGTCGAATCCCTAAAATATCATCTTCCACGTTTGCTTTTTCAGTCTCAAGCGCCAAACTGTGGTTGCTGCTGGTCCAGAGAGTACTGAAGGGTCCTTGTTTGAGATTGAGACCACGAGTTCTTAGATCTTCTGTAGATACCTGCTTAGCTAGGTTGAAGATATCTAAAAAGAGTAATGACCTTAACGCACTAACCATTTAACTCTGAAATCACTAAGCAGTCGTTCATCAGGCATGACGACACTGACTGGCCGCCGTCGAACCCCCAAAGTCTTCTGGCATTGCATGAATGACCCAATTTTGAATGGTCTGCTGGATCGCGGCATCCTGAGATATCAGTATATACTGTAATGAGATCGAGGTCTAGACTGAGTTGGTATGTAATGATTCACCTCCGGTGTGCCATCTTAATATGGCAAATATGGCAGTAACGAATCCAAATGCACTTCCCTAGCCTCGGGTATATTATAAGAAGGGAATGTCGTCGTTCTTCTACCATGGATGCCACAATACTCTCCCATTGAATCAAGCAAAGGCAGCTCTCAAAAAGAAACATGGTACGGAGTAGTAAATCTGACACAGGTTGTAAGTCAGAATATTTCCAGATATTGGTGTGGCCGTCCTCTTTGAGATAGGACTCTCTTAGCTTCCGGTCTCAGTGCGCGTATGGGAAGGCCCCACAGAATACCATAGCATACCATTGCAGACCATTGCAGACCATTGCAGACCACAGCATTACGAATCCACTGTCCCAACAACCTGGCGAGGGCCGCTGCTCAGTGCGAGCTCACTGAGGGCGGCTACAGTACTGTATCATATCTTCAAATTTTCGTTTGTTTTTCTTTTAGAAAGCACCGTTATCGATAGTTACAACCATTCATCTCTGTTTCGGGTGCTTAGATACGAATGCCAAAACTGCATGCACAAAGCCAGTAGGGTTCTCTTCCGCAATGTAATGGCCAGAATCTTCTACCACCGCAACCTGAATATCACCACCATAAACCTCAGTCACCATATCCCGGGCCTCGGAAGCATGCCGACTTTCCGAAGTCTAATCCAAGTAAAAATGATCTTAAGTAAAATGTGCAATTGATCGCGAAGAACTAAATACATGTGCGTGAAGGACTGTCCTTATATATCTAGCCCTCCCTACTTCTGAGTGTATCTGAGTGTGACCCTTCGGGGTCGCTATCAGTGTCAGGTATACTCCGTTTACTTCCAGGAGTTCACTTCTCGAGTCACGGTCATGTGACTTGTCGTAATGCGGTTCAAGGTTACGCTGGCTTCCACGTAGCTTCACGTGACTTGTAGCTGTGCATGATTCCTGGAAATGGTTGGCTCTCGGTGGCCCATCTGTAAGCTGCGACCCCTCGTGTGGCAGGGTCCGTTACAGTCCCCTCTTCATATAGTAAGAATAATTTTGTCGCAGGAACACGTCCTGTCATCTTTTCCAAACTTTTTCCCTCTGAATTCAATCCAGATATGTTATTTCTCCTTGTACCCCAGAGCGAAGGAACTAAAATAAAACAAAGTCGCGCTGTCGGCAATATTAGAGAAACTATTCTCAGTACGAGACTTTTAACTTGAACTCACAATTAAGATTAACATTGACAAGTGACTGGGCCGCATCGGTATTGGGCTTCGTCGCAAGCCGGATGACCGGGCACTCTGCATTCTGGATCTGGCTTTGTAGGGCAGTCGCAAGGACCACAATCTTCATCACAACTTATAGTCTCTGTGGTGGATACTGGGTCCCCACAAGTAAAGAGGGCTCTCACACTTGCGACACAACCAGGGTTGTATCTCGGGTTACTTGAGTCTGGCGTGGGTTTAAAGGTGCAAGTGCAAATGCAATCTTTCGTGCAATGTTCCTCCTCGACGAGCGTGCAATCAGCCGCCATAGCAGTAGTAGCAGCTGCAAGGACAATCGCAATAGTATTGAATCGCATCTTCAATTGTGCCGGGGACAGCAGATCAAAGGTTAGGTTATAATTGAGAAGATTGTGAAGAGTCTTTTGGTTGAGATGTCTGTGAATAGGAAACTTTCCCACAAGAGAGAGTAAGAGGAGAAATGTTATGCCCCTTTATAGGAACGATATCATCAATAGCGTTGTCCCGTAAGGTATGATGCGATTATGACACAGTAGACTTCCACACGCATAGGATAGAGACATGCAGATTTTCTTAACTTCTATCAAGTCATGCTACATGGGAGGTGGAGGAATAAGATTCGGAAGGGTCTTGGTGCTGTACTATGGAATCAAACTGCTACTGGAGGTTAGAGAGTCTAGATTGGTCTCCGAGGAAGCGATCCAGCTCAGCTTAAATTCAATCAGCGAATCAAATTTATCGTCTGATGTAACCAGGTTTTCCCAACAGTGAAAGGTAAGTTGCCGCAGATGAAGGCGGTTGACTCTTCTATGGTACGAACTAACTTTATCTTTGAATCTAGTACTCCAGCACGTAAAGTGAAACTTGCTGATCTAGAATCTAGAAATGCAGTATGCCGTGTGATCTTAGCTGATCCTTAAATAACAAAGTTACAGTTAAAGTTGGCCGTTTAGCAGGTAATATCCGGTAGTAGTGACGTATTAATAGTTCACGGGCTGTCGGGGTCCTTGCCACACACAAATCCAACTGTGTGTTGGATTATGCAAACCACATAAATCTGGACCCCTTTCAGGTTATAATGGCAAGTTCTATTAATAGATAAAGGCGTACCATACAAGAATCCAACGCTAAAGAGAGAATAACGTAAGGGAAGAAGCAGAAAACCGAAATTCTGTGTTTCGGAACAAAGCTGTTCCATTCCGTACATGGCATACATGTAACGTAATCCACGGGCGAGCCGCGCACACAGGCGAGTCGCGCACCCCAAAACACATAGTAAATGCGATAAATTACAACTTCATATCTCACCAACAACAAGATATTCCAGAGCCTTGTTGAAGATGACTATTCCCAGGCGTATATATAGCATGCTAACGAGGTTGATAAATAAGTAGATGATGTACAAAATAGAGTTACCAAAAAATACATATTTTCATTGCACTGAATATGTATTTTTTGGTAACCTGATGTACTATTTATCAGGTGAGCTCCAGGCTAACACATATTAGCTGTACCACTAATAGGCATCTATAAACCAAAAATCAGATGGTATATTGGTTGAGATATGAAGTTGTAATTTGTCGCATTTACTACGTGTTTTGGGGTGCGCGACTCGCCCGTGTGCGCGGCTCGCCGTGGATTACGTTAGTTAACTAAGTTAACTAACTACAGTAGTTACCGTCAGCGTTCATTAGTAACTAGTGTAGTGGCGGATCCAGTGGCATTCAGTGGGATCCAGTGGGATCCGGTGGGATCCGGTGGGATCTGGTGACACCTTGACAGTTTTTTTTGGGTCTCTCGATTAGTTTGCACTGTTTGCCTTGAAGGATTTTAGCGGAAATCCCTGTCTTTTATGGAAAATGTCGGTACCGCTTTAGACCCAATCACCTGGACGAATCATAGATGCCTTGTCATCTGCATTGGTTATGTTCATTCTCTCACAAATTTGTATGCGACCGAGCACGACTAAAAACTCTTGGCTAAGTTACAACGATACAATCTGACCATCCCTTACAATACTGATTCTCCACTGATACCGACAGAAAATGTACAGTAGTTCAGACATTACCGAACACACACTACCCATTCTACTATTAACTGCCTATTCAAATTCATGGAGAGGATTCTATAAATCTGAGATTCTTACTTTGCCTGTCAATCACGTTAAGCTGAGGTATCCTGATAGCTGGCAGCTTTGCTGTTGGTGGTCTTGTTTTGTCTACTATATTCGCTCGTGCCTCGACCTGTCCGTGCCGACCGGACTGCCTTATGCTCCCCCTCTTTACTATTTATTTGGAACATGCTAGTTACACGCCCAGTACTGGCCGTACTACAATGGATGAGTCATCGTTATAATACAGTAATGCCCCATAAAATCACGTAGCATCGCTTGGTACGGAGTACGTACTTGTGACGGTCTGGCAAGATCGCATGCCTGCTCCCCCAGCGACTTTG